GGGGCTTCTGGCCTCGCTATCAGGAGCCAGGACCTCTGACCTTTCTATAAGGTGTAAGGACGCTACTAGGGCCCCTGGCTTTGCTACTAAGGCCTCCTGGTATCGCTACTAACTTACAGTCTTTCAACGCAGAAAAAGAGGCAGGGGCGCTGAGCACTCCTTGGCAAACTCAGTGCAACGAAGCTATGCCTTGGAGTGGGAAGCACGGATTGATCACCCGTGTGTACCTGCGAGAACTCTTTCACAAGCTGTGACTCCACTTTTTCCTTGTTTGTTTCCATGGTGGTTTTCATGATACTTCCCCCAAACCTACTCCTCCCCAGCAGCTGCGCCGCAGATCGTCCACTGATGTACAGCGTTGTTCAGCAGAGCGAGGGAAACTATGTTCAACATTTCAAGTGATCGGACCCAATCACCTTACCGTTCCACCGCCTTCCTTCCCATCGTGGCAATTGAGTCTAACTGAAAACCCAAGTTCGAAGTGTGTCTGTATGCATATATAAAAATGTATGTGTGTGTCATAATGCATCATCATAGATCGTATATTAATATAATATTATATAATATATGCAAACATCCCCTGCCACTAGGTGATCAGCTTCCAATGGTCTGATGCAGTCGCAGCTTTGTCAGGCCAAGGCATTCGTGCCTTGTCTAGGTCCCAGGTGAAGAATGTGGAAGCTTCACCACAGGGCACCAGTACCCCTAACACTCCATGTAACATGAATGTGTGATTTGAGGGGGAGGTTCAGGGTCAGGGTAGGAGGATGCAGGACATTGCAGGACTTTTTCCATCCGATATGGAGTGTTTCGGGCCGGATGTCACTGGTCATACAAGAACACCCACTGGTCACAACCTCGGTGACCCAAAAATCACTCCAAGACTGTCACACACTTCGGCGCAAGCTGGCTAGGTGGCGAAAGCCAATCCCACAGCATTGGCCTGTTCTCTGAAACATCTCTGCCAGGAGGTCTCTGGGAGGCGAGTGAAGACATTTGTGTACGATCAGTTGCGTGCCCATTTGCACAACTTGGACGTTGACCAGTTGGCTGACTTCAAGATGATCAACATCTCTTGGACATCGTGGAAGGCCGTGCAAATTTCCACTGTGAAGACTGTGAAGCACACCAACATCCAATGGACTTCTCAATCGACTTCGGCCTCCAAACCTCCGGAGCACGACGCAAGACCGAGTGGACTGGACTCGCTTTGGAGACACAGCAACTCGGTCAATCTGCTCAATCCGATGGGCTTGCCGTGTCTCGGCGAGGGCCCTGGGATAGACTTCCGGTGACCCAGTTCTCAAGGGCGGTTGTCTAGATCGAACAACAAGCATGTCGAAGCGAGCCGCGAGGATGGTGGTTTTATTCATGTTGCAAGCAACACCTGCATCGCATGCGTCGGACGGTCTGGGCCTATCTCCTTGTGGAGTGTCTGCAATCGGCTTCATAGGTTCCAAGTAGTCGTGGTCTGGGGGGGCACTGGAAGGAATGGAAAGCCTGCAAATTGACACGAGTAGGACCAGCTAAAGCAAAATCAACCGACCGGGTGGCTTCATCCTCCTAAGGAGAGGGCCTGCAGTGCAACATATGAGGAGCTGACAAACTTATTGGCTCATCCAACATGCCATATGCCAAACTGGGTCGTCCCCTATCGGTTGAGGATTTAAGCATTTGAAGCGTGATGTCATGAATGATGGCCCCTACTTGGGCTCCACAGCTAGGTCACCACAGCTTTCGGCTTGAGCGCACTCACTGATACTCACCGCCTGACTCATGTGGATCAGGTGTAGGAGGAGGTCATAAGGAAGGCTCTGGGGTGCGGTGTGGGGCATGAATCTGGGAGACCACCAAGGCCTCTGATGGTGGGATCATCTGGGGAAGGTAAAGTGACTGCGCACATGTTGAGTCTGATTATATCAGTGGCGGGAGGATTGATTGTCAAAACCAATATTTATTTGAAAGTCTTGGGCAATTCCTACTTCGAGACGTTCTAGACTCTAGATCCTGGAGGTTGGGGAGACCGCCCAAAGACGCTCTGGAAGAAGGGAATAAACCAAAGGCCATTGCTTGGGGGTCTCCCCAATTACAGCAACATATATACACATACTGTACATCATTTGCCAGGAAAAAGTCACCAAAGCACCAGCGTTCCCTCCCAGTTTGGTGACTTTCGCCACAAAGTCATGGCATTTAAACCCACACCATCCCACACTTCTGCGCACATGGGGAAGTGCTGGGGAGCTGGGAGTTCCAGGACGAGTCACTCCCGGCCTTAACGCTGGAGGCAAGCTAAGGCGCCGGGATATGCGCCTGAAGCCGCGTCCAGGGCAGGTCCGTAGATGGATTCACGATGAAGTAAGTATGGAAGAGGGACTTGATGACTTGCGACTATGCGATCAATTACACGAAGATGTACGACAAGTTGACGACCCGTTGTTTTTTCCGGGGTGACCCGTTGTTGCGTAGCATTCACATCATCGGCCCAACTGTGTGGATGACAGTTGCCAAGGACGTTCATGCTAAGGAACCTCATAGGGCATCAACATGCATCACAGTCAGACACACGCAAACACTCACCGTGTTCAATTCCCAAAAGTCATGACGGGAACAAAAAAGGAAACACAAAACGACACCTAATTACTCCTGAAAACTAACATAGACCCTGATCCCATGGCCCCAATGGTTTTCCTACTGGTCTTCCTCTACCAACCGACCGTGGTTTTCACCCGGGGTCCATAGGCTCCTCATCCGACCAGTGGCCAACGACCGATCGGGACGAAACGCCGTGAAACGAAGCATGGTGAGTACGCCCAGCCCAATGGAGGTGAGTTAAACCAGCTTTGTCACCAAGTTTGGGAACTGCATGGAACTTCCAAGTCAACTTTGACTTGTTGGCAGCCAGGGCCAGGCCCAAGACAGGCCAACCAGGACGCAAGAGACTGGTTAAGTTCGAATCCTTGGGATCTGTATCCACCGCATCGATTGATGTTTGGATACCCGACTTTTTGGGAGAACCGGTCACCCAAACTCCTCCAGGCTGGTCCTAGCAGGTGGCCAATCCTCAATCCAAGGACCCAACATCTCCGGGGATCCACTCACGCCTCCTCCTTCCCCCCCACTCCCCACTGGCTCTGGCTCCGGCGGCCCGAGCCTTGAGGGACTGTGGTGGGCACAACAATTCCAGCTTCGACCTCATCGAAACGCGCTTGAGACGAAGAAACCCGCCCATTCTGCGCATGGCAGCGTCTCGGATCTGGCTACGTCTCCGGTCTGATTGCGCATGGGGGTTTGGTTCAGATGTTATGAATGGTGTACTGAATTCTATGATTCTATAAGCATGGTGTCAGTGAATTCGGCATGATCTGATCAGTTTTTGAGATCTAGGAATTATATAATAGTGACAACTCACTAGCAATCAACAACCAATCAATGTTCAAAAGAGCTGGGCTGAATGAAACTGAGAAATTGCATCTTCAGAATGCTCAAAAGGTGGTCGAGGCAGAACATGGCAGAACAACACCTGGCTCCCCCCGGCCGCCCGCCCGGTTGAAATTCGACAACTCCCATGATCCTCCCAACAAAAGACATGATTTACATTGATTTACAGTATAACATTATCTGTACCTATATATGCCCAATAGCAAGCTTGCCGCTTGCCCCGTTAAACCGACAACGACGAAGACGACCACCACCACCACCACCACCACAACAACAACCACAACAACCACAACCACAACAACAACCACAACCACGACGACAACAACAACAAGCACAAGATCGCTCCGCGTGCCGCTCGAAGTGCCACTGCATCGGAGAAGAATTACGCCTTCCGCCTGTACTCGGAGATCCGGAAACTCCTGGCCTCCACGATGAGCGGAGCGCCCTCGATGGCGCCTTCGGGGATAGTGAAGACCACGTCGCGCGGCAGCCCCGGGCGCCAGGCATCGTGCCACTCCTGCGAAAGGTGGGGCAACAGGATGGGGGCGGACGGGGTTGGGCGAAAACAAGGGAAGGGAGATTGGAGGGTCGCAGGTTGCTGTTGGGAGGTTTCTTCCTCTTGTAGGGCCCAAAAAAGACCACCTTTTGGAGCTAATTACCAGGAACAAAATCTTCCAATCACAAGCAATCACAAGGCTTTTAGGAATTCGAGGAGGAAGCACAGGTCCTGGTAAGAAATCTGCTTCACCTCGTGTCCCACGTTCAGGTGAGCGGTCACGGGAATCTGACCAGTGGGCAGCTGCTGTTCTGGCACGTGGCTGACATGGTCGCAAAGGCTGTCTTTTTGTGCCAAGTGGCCCCCACAAGGAGAGGTGTGCATGACAGTCATGATCATCAATGGTGCCGAAAGGTCCAATACACTGAGCACATGAATGATTGATGATTAAAAACAAACACACACACACACACATATATATATATATATCTTTAACTATAGTATACTATATATAGTTATATATGAATGTTTAAGTGAAGCTCGAAGGAGAAGGGGGCAAGTGGGGCAGTGTTCATAAGGGCTCGCTATATAATGCTTCCTATGCTGTCTCAATGCAACACCCAAGACTCAATGACATTTTATAACATTCATTCATAAATCCACTCATCCAATCCGTTCACAAAAAGCTGTGGCATCGGGGTGGGGAGCTGGAAGGCCATGATTCAAACAAAGAGATCTGGTGGCCAAAGTCAACTGAGTGGTGGTGGATCAAGGCATCCCAGAAACCATCTCTTGGTGCCACAACGGAACAATCAGTCCATCAAACGCGTGTTTTCTCGTCGTCTTCCCGGCTGATTCGTGCTGGTCTACCAACGCACCTTGCATCAGCACTGGTTGGAGAGATGGCTGTGCAAAGCCTTGGACGGCTTGGAAAAACCAAAGGGATGTCAGGACGGCACCACGGAGCAAACGGCAACCGTAGAGCAAAACATTGTGTTTGTATGTATTTGTGGTGTTTTTAGAGGTTGCCAACTGGCACCGGAATTCTTTTCACTATAGCATGTGCCAGTATTGACCATGTATACCATGAAATCTGTTTCATGGTTGCAACCGTGCTGCAAAACACCCTGAAACAATCGAGATCATCTGATCTTCCCATCATTTGCACCAGAACTACAGTACACTCTCAGCCAGTAAAACCGCTGTGGCTGGGCTAGGCTTCCTGCTGGTCGTTGCAATCTGAACCCCTGGCGCTTGAGACACCAAGGGCTGTGCGGGTGCACCGTCCAAAATGTAGCCTCAGTGTCCACGCAGCTGTCGACGCGTCCGTCCAGCCGCGTTCGTGTGGGCAGCCGGGCCATGCTGAGAGGCAGCCGGGCGTCGTCGAAGAAGGGATCATTTTCAGAAAGTGATGGAAGGAGAGCGGTACACATAAAGAAAGACTTCTGAGTGGGTTGGCTTGGTGTATTGCCTCCATTTGATTTACAAAAGGTTCACCCGGCCTCCATAGCGGTGTCAACCAAGGAAAACTTCTAACACACAGCACATCACAGGTAAGCATCCCCAGCACCACAATACAATACAATCAACCAAGATGCGCTCTATTGCAGCAAACCAAACTTGCTCATGTTTACTCCTCAGTGCCATTAACAAATCACAACAACACTTTAGGCCTTGACCCCAAAATAGATAGAAACGTAGATCCCGAGTTAAACATGTATTGGAAACTGTTTCTATCCATTTGGGGGGCCAATAAGTCTATAAGGATCTTCAGACCTCAGACCGCCTCTAAACCGCTCTTCTCATTGCCTTTGCCCGGTCCCAGTTCATCTCGTCCAGTGGCTGTTCACCGGGTAGGCCATTGGGCTGCTGGTGGACACGCGGTACGTGCCCATCGTCGGCGCCACGGTGCCCAACGACGAGGCCAGCGTTCCGCTACGCGGTGGGGCGGTGGCGACGGCAGCGGCAGGGAAGGTTGGAGTCACCTGGCGGGATGGGTGTGGAGGAATGCATGGGTGTGGAGGGAGTGTTTTTGGGCTACTGGCATGTGGTGGTTTGTAGAAGGCGATGGTAAAGAAATTGGAGTATCATGGCACACAGTTGTTGAAGACCCCCGTCACCCTTCTTTTCTGTCAAGTGCATCGGGCGCATCGGGTGATTTAGCAGTCGTGCATCGGGCGCAAACCAAAAGTCCGCGGAATTGGCATACATGCAGTGCCTGACAGTTAAATGAATCGTCAGAAATAGTCGGAATAGTTTGAATCGTAATCTATTGGGGTCACATTGGCTTTGTGTTTGTGTTTGTTGAGAGACGTCTACATCTCTGAGCGATGTAAGAGATGTAAAACATAACTCAGGTTTGAATGCCCTCTGAGCTCGAAGCCAAGGGTGCAGCAGTGGTGATTGGCACCGCCAAGTGCTGCAAGTTGGGGCCGCCCAAATATCCCAAATTGGGCGCAGTGGCTGCAGGAGCAGCTGCCACTGGCTCCGCCTATCACTATGAGGGCAGTTCCGCGGCGAAGATGGCGGAAGTTCAGCCATGCAAACGACCAAAAGCATCGTTTGGAATCTGAGTAGAAGCCCTTTCTGGGAGAAAATGGAGAAGTGATCTTCCAAAAGCCTATATGTTCTGCTTCGATTCCTGGAGGAAAGCCAATGGGCCAGTATAACTTAGTATCAGTATAGCAGTTTCTACTTGGGCAGTTCAGCATAATACCGCCAGGTACGGCTGTTCACATCGTGACTGGACTGATAAAAGGGACCCGTGACCTGCGCTTAAAACTCCAACTTCAACAAACTAACTTGGTGACATGTTTGAATTCTATGTTCTAGGGAGTCGAGGTAACATGGAATGGACCCCAACCTCCCTTGTTTCCCGGTGTTTGCACCGTGGACTATGACGCTTGCGGAACGGCTCGTGCATCTACCCCTCTGCTCGCCAGCCCCTGCCAAACACACCTCATGTTTCTTGGACATCAAGGGCTGTTGCTCTTCATCTTCAACCTGAGGCCATCCAACAGCTCCAAGGTACTATTTGGCTGAGGCAAGCACTTGAAATTTGAGCGGACTTGGGGTGAGAAGTGCTAGCTTCTAGAGGCATGTTGACGGGTTTAAGATCGGTTTGAGGAGAGAAGGCTAGTGGAAACGTATGCGCCCGAAGAGAGTGAGCTTATTTCGTGCTTCAAACATGCTGAACTGCTTCAAACATGCTTCAACAAAAGCGGGCAACGGAACTTTGGAGTCACCTAGGCAAGTCTCAACGAGTCTCAACGAGTCTCTGTTGATTCCATGGATTTCACCATGCCGATCCATGCTGTTTTAGGAGTCCCCCTAAAGCTTCCACTACCTCTGTCTCCAAGATAGGTGGGCTTGGACGGTCAGTCCCCACCATTGGAACAATCTGTGAATCAGAGACATGAAGATCATGCATCCGCTGGGCTTCTCACCTCCTCCTTCAACTGGATGTGCCTCTTCTTCTTTGTTGGTGTCTGCTTCCTGGAGTTGGCTGCTGAACTCTCAGAGAAGAATCCAGAATGACCATGTCAACAAGCTTCGATGTCTTGTCTTGCTAAGATCCTATTGCTGTCCTAGTCTTACTTGTATTTACTTGTGGCATGCCAAGAATGCATGAACATGTTGCCAAAGTATGAGTAACCTTTAGGCTGGACCGCCAACCTTCAAAAAGAGAACCCAAAGGCATTTTGAGAGCAACAAATACCAAAAGTTTGCGCGCGTGGAAAGCGTCACAAAACACACTCACATGAAATTTCCTGCCCACTGGTTAAACGTGTTCATGAAACTAAAACTTTCTGGAACATCTTGCTCAATGCCCTTGGGACACTGTGCCCGGAACCTGCCGACAATCCACCTCTTCGTAGTTGCCAACAGAATAACCGACCAAGCAAACCCTCCAACGATCCTGGAAGAGGACCACCCCATGTTAGTGGAGCAAAGCCGTCTTCCAAGGGGCTACTGATACTGCTCCACTTCCGTGTTTGTCGGGGCAAGGGCGAGACAAGCAGCTGGTCTTGCCTTCTTTGGTTTCGGGTCCTGTGGTTGAGCCCCATGTAGATCAAGATGCAGCAGGCAATCGCAGCCAGTAGAATTCCCACAAAGATAGCGCCATCCATCTGGGCAAATTCCATCACTGGCACTGGTGGGCACCATCCAAAAAACAAAAATGCAACGCAAATGGAACACCGGCGGGTGTTTAGGTAACCATTGTCAAGCCATGGCCGTGGACTGGTTTAAACAATGGCGCAATCATGCGGTTTACTAGCTGTCAAATCCAACCCTTGGGGGCCCTGTCCATTCTTGCCGAAACCATTTGGGAAGGTAAGGCACATGCAAATGATCTACTAAGTTCAATGCGCATCTGAAGTGAGAGAGAGGGGTGACAATTTGACGCATGTCATATCAGATCGATCAAATATCAGAATAAATGAAGGTTCCACATGGATCCCACTGCTTGAATTTGGGAAATCCTCACTTCCGGGAAGGGTTAAGGTACGGGCGCCGAAGCAGTTACGCCGGCCAAAGCACTGACTCACTCTAGAGATGCACAATGGATTCACTGTTCTATCCTTTTGCTCATTTTAAGAAGAACCAAGTCCAACAAAGGACCTGATCTGGAAAGGACATGAAAGGACCACTTGATCTTTGTGGTCCGGAAACCTGAGCCGCAAGTGATGGCCGAGGCACCAAAAGGTTGTTGCCGTGGCCTAGGTGGGGGCTGGCAACTTAGAAGTGCAAGAACATTTCTGTCAAGAGAGTATTTTTGGATCCAATTGGAGCTGGGAGTTCGCAGCGGCTAGCCTTCACAAGTGAATGCCCTCAAGAAGTTCGAGGAAGAATTATTGTGGAGGGCATGGAAAAATGAAGAATGTCAACCATGAAAAAAACGATACGTACAATGCTTACACATTTGCTTTGGTCCCTCCTCCCATGTTGCTTTTCCCCAGCCCATGCTGAAAAAGAATGCAACCCAAACCTCCCCGTCTCCGGCGACCCAACACTGACCGATCGACCCAGCACCGACGTCGCGTCCGAACTAGCAGGGGGGTCGACCCGTGGGCGGGCGTCCGCGTCCGCACTGGCATCACAAGGTGTGTCCAGGGCAAGGAGATGGTTCTGGATGGGTTGATGTTTCAGTGGCCTCAACCCATGGACAATCATGAACTGAACTATCCATCAGTGCTGGATGGGGGTCAGACTGGATGTGTGACAGCCCTTGTTGGTCCGGACCCTTTAGGGGGTCAAGGAGTCCGAGTTTCATCCCTCCCTTTGCACCCTTCCTCCATCGGCCCCTTCTGGTTCCCCTTCCTCCTTCCTTCCGTCCCAGTTCTCCTAAGCCACTACTTCCTTCTCCGGCTGCACCCAACTCGGCACCGGCCTTACTGAGTGAAGTCCGGGGGCGTGTGGAGTTGGTCCGGTCAGAGGCTTGGTTGGTGGGTACGTCTTGAGCAAACCCAGCAGATCAAAAGCTTACACCACTCAGCAACTTTCGTCCACCAAAACGAGGCTGTTGATGGAGAGCCTCCCAAAAATCTAAGACAAACCATCCAAAAGTGGCGCAGAATGTTGACTCTTGACTGACTTGCGAACCATTGGTACCAGTCATAGAGGACAGCTATCGAACGCGATCGAACAGGAGGGCAGAAGGAACGAGTGAAGAGAGCAGCTCCTCTCCAAATGTTGTCGTGCGATTCCGACATCCCCGTGTCAATGCAGGTTAGGGGTGTCAGTCAGGTGGGGCTGACCCCTGTGATTTCATGGAGAAGATTGACATGGAGATATTCTGACCAATCACCTGAAACCGCAATTCCAAGATCAAAACACCCACCATCGAGCCTAACTCCTCAAACTGGTAAGGGGCACCAATCCCTACCAATCACCCGAAGAACACATGTCGATGTCCCCTGATTGAACTGGAACATTTTGGGATAAGCAAAACCAACACGTTCCACAGTCCCAGGCGCCAATCCCTCATCCTCTGCTCCGCGGAATCCGGCGGATACCGCGCCACCTGCCACACCCGCCTGGCGAGGGGAGCTCACTGGTGCTGATGCATTGGATGGCGAGATGATCTGGGATTGCTACTCTAAGTTGCAGTTTGTTATTTTAAGTTGGCACTACCTACATTGGATCGTTGGTTTGCATCTGCTGCTCCTCGGCAATGCAGAATCCTCGAAATATTAGAGGTACACTTGGTAAATGACATTTGTTTCTGGTGGCCCATTCGAATCCTAGCTAGAAATGTAGCTTAGCAGCACCAAAAGAGATTGCTCACTGAGCATTAACCTTCAATATTGCTAGGCCATTCCCAAGCGATAAGCTGCACAAGTATAGCACGATAATGCACGATAGAGGCAAAACCGTACTTATTTCTCAAGTACGGCTCAAACGACTCAGACCCTACACGTCCGGTCGCTCGTTCATGAAGCGCCTTCGTCTCCTCTGCATCAACTGCAGCCTGGAGAAGCTGGACCACAGAAACACCAGGGATCTCCAGTGCTTGGTGGTTTCCACCCATCTGAATCTGAAAAACACCTTTTTGGGGGGGCACGAATTAAGGATTCTAGTCCATGTGAAGGCTGAACAAAATGTTTGACAACAGCTTCATCTGACTGATACGTTGTTTGCCGACACGCCACACACACACAGGTTTTGTTGTTGTTGTTGTTGTGGTGGTGGTGGTGGGGCGCGTGCTAACCAAACCTCCCCGTTACCCGGCATTCTTCCAGTTTTTGTGTCCGACACAGCCTTCTTCATGACCTTTGGTTCTTGGCATGTGCATGACCATCCCCACATAGACAGAATATGCGTCTTGCTGAAGGCATCACAAGTGCATGCGGAAAAAAAAGATCCAAAATGGTCTTCCACATCATCCAGGACGTCATCTTTTCCCGATGAAAATCTCAACCCTTTTGGGGGAGTTGACCCTCACCACGCCGAAAACCGCGGATAGCTCTCTCCTTTTCTTGGTTCGGGTGCATGACCAAGTTGTATGCTCTCTTTCCTGGGCAATCGATGTCAAAGCAAACGAAAGCACGTCGGACTTGGTAATCAATTTACCTCAGCCTTGCAGCTGAAGGAACATAGAATCGACATGAATGTGGTTGAAGTATGTTGAAGTGTTAACTCGTGATTCTGAAGGTCGGAATTGTCAAACATTAAACACATGCAAAACATGCACAAGCTGTCCTGTCTCGCTTGGCCATACTTACTGCACTTAGAAAGTGGGCGATTGATTGGACTCGCTTTTTTAATGTTGGAGGTTAGACTGTCGCAGACTGGCGACCGGTGCAGAAAGAACCCTCCAGCGACCGGCGATGTCAAATCTTCAAATAATCATAGGCCCCAGACACTCCATGGGACTGGCATATGTTCCTACATTGGGTGGTTTGGGAGGTCAATGTAGGCATATATTCCAGTCCCATGGAGTGTATGGGTGCTGTGATTTATTGTTATTGATGTCATGGATTTGTTAATGTGGTCCTCTGATTAATCAACTCCCCCAGAATAGTGACATGTTTTTTCCTGCACTGATTAATAAAGGCCCCCAGAATAATGTCTATTTTTTTTGGAGGGATAGTTTTTTTGGTGATTTTTTCATTGTTATATATTGTTATTTTTACTCTCTGGCTTACTGATTTTTAGATCTTTGGATGCAGATTTCCAGTGGCAGCAAAGATTTTTTTTGGAGTTTGAAGGTCTTTGGATGCAGATTTCCTTTGGGACCTTTGGGAATTGGAGATTTCCATTGATTTTTTTGGATGTTATTGTTATAGTGGAATATTCTTTTTGTTATAGTCTACTTTTTCCCTTTTGATTTGCTTTACTCACCCTCTATTCCTTATTAACTTTTCCTAAGCTCTTTAGTGTTGAAGCTATCCAAAAGTTTCCAAAAGTCAGTGCGCACTTTCTTTATAAAATCCCTTATTCAAAAGTATTGAAAAACAAAAAAAATCATTCAAGCAAAGGGGGTAGTCCAGCAAGCAGCTTTCTGACATTATTTAGGGGGGCCCCTAGAATAATGTCTAGAGATTTGAGGCTTTAAATCTTTATTCCTTGTCTTTGCCTTTTGATTTGCTTTACTTACCATTGAAATTGCAGGTCTTTGGATTGAGATTTCCATTGAAATTTAAACGGTTAGTTCAATTTCCATTGATTCATTCCCTTTTATTGTAATTAATATTCCAGATGTCTTCAAAGTTAGGAATTCTTATTTCCTTTTAATTTAATATTGCCAGAGTAGCTCCAGAGGTAGCTAGCTAAGGATTCCTTATTTATTTATCAATTGATTGGTTTTCTAGCACATTGTTCTGGAGTCTCAAGAGTTGAGGGGGGGGGGGGGGGGGGGGGGGGGTTGATTAATCAAGGGACCACATTAGGTTTTGGGACTCAGGACTTCTAGCAAATCTAGCACTAAAACCCAGGCATGCCAATTTGCCTTGACGGCCAGTTGCCTGTTCGTTTTAAAGGTCTCTGGCAGCAAACCAATGCAAACCGGCTTGCAAACACAACTTGCGTACTTAAAAACGACAAACAAAAACCACGCGCACGCCAAACATATCCAAACATGTCAAGGGTCTTGAGAATCTTTCCCTGACAAACCCAACACCAACAGGACAGCGATCTGGGGTTGTCTTCCTCACCCGTAGGTCCAACCATCCATGTGTTCTTCTCCAAGGGACCCTCAGTGGAGGCCGTGGCTTCGGGCAAGCCACACTCTGTGGCGACCTGGCCAGGGACCCGGCCGGAAACCTGAGAGAATCACTAAACACCCATCACCCATCTATCTTGTATATCCACTGTCTATTACGTCTATTATAGACACCTGGTATAACGGTATGAACATGTATAAACACCCCATCAGACAGCTGGTATGAAGGTCAGCCTATGACATTCAGCACGGCCCTGACTCCAGCGATGTGGAAGAAGCGAGTAACATGAAACGAGCAAACACAGCCCTGCCCACGACGCAGGCTCATTTTCTCACAACCGCGCAGGCCCGCCACCCAGCGCGCGGCTGAAGTAGTCCTCGACACGATGGCGTAGTGATGCGTAGTGACGTAGTGAGTGGAACTATGGGGCTGCTAGGTGAATTGTCATGATGGACAATGATGGGTCATGTTAATCATGTTCCAGGTTCTTCACATGGATCATAGGGCTTTGGAAGGCCATCCCTTCCACCAATGGACACCTTTGGAACCCTGTCACACCCTGCCCGGCTGGGCTCCTAGCGACGCTGAAGAAAGCTATGATTTGAACATGAGGACAACTCCTGAATACCAGGTGGGGACAACGTGTCAATGATTTCTTTCCATATACTGTTTGGATCTGTTTGGTGTTATCCGACAAATACCCACGAAGGCCGGTCTTGCTGCTGATATACCAGAATCTCACGTCATCCAAGCTTTGTCTCGCAGGCGGTTGCGGGGACAAGGTCGCAAGCTGAGTGGCCCCAAGATTGCAAACCATGGCCGGCCAAGGTCGCTAGTGGCTGAAACACTTCTGAGGCAACACCCGTCTATCCTACTATCTATCCTGTATAGATCATAAGTATATCCGTAATATCGAATCTCAATCAGCTACAATGCTACAACTTACTCTGCAACTAAACTACTCTATCTGAGCCCTCTTGAAACACACGAATCGCCTTCTCCAAGTGGCCCAGGCTGCTCCGCAGCAGGGTGAGCCGATCGACCGGTCTTTCCAGCAGACTTGGACGTGGTGCCAGGGGCCCTTGGCAGGCGGACCCTCGCTGAGCCCGAACCTGAGGAGAGGCTGAGGCCTCCCAGGTCCCCAGTTGGGTGGTTCAATTGATGGTCCTGGAATCTGTCACTTGTCATTTATCTCACGTGGCGGCACTTGTAGTGTTCCAACTTGAAACTGTACCTTACTGTTTGAGACATGTCTGGGGTGCAGAGTGTCCATGTTTGCTTTGATGCAGGGGTTGCAAAAGAAGTTGCAAGGGGCACGAGCACTTCAAGTGGTGGGTGGATGGGTGGGGAACCTGCTCTATTCTTCACTTTCCTCTCAACTTGCACGCAAACCCTTCCCAACCCAACCAGTCTCAACCCCTTAACACACTCCATGTGAACCTGGTTTGTGCTCCATCTCTCATTTTCCGTTCCTCAGCCCCTGGTGCTGCCCCAGTGCCCAGGCACTCGTTGGTGGAGCGATGAAAGTAGTGGGCCCTGTGAGTGTGGCCCTCGCAAATGAGGATGCGCTGGGAGACGGTGCCGAAGTGGGTGATGAGATTGGGCCGCCAAGCCGAGAAGGGTCCCGAATGCAAGCTCATCTGCAGCACGGAGGCGTGAAAAAAAAGGAAGCTGACAAGAAGCACGAGAAGTCTGCCAAAAGAATATATAATTCAAGACTGACAATAGATTGTTCAATACACCTTCATCATGGGGACTGCTATATTCGATAAAATGAATGAAGCTGGACCCTAAAGGCGTCAAAGTCGTGCGATGATCGAATATCAGAATATAGTGTACAGAAGGCCGCCGATCTCTTCTCGTTCTTTCTTGGCCAGTGGAATCTGTTTGTGACCCTTGACCGGGTCACGGACCAGGACCACCCTCACCCTCACCACGGTTGACGGGTAGCGGCCGCTCACCCGGAGCCTCCACCTCCTTTGAAAAGACCCGTGGCAGTGGACCGGTCGGTGGCCCAAGGCCCGGCACATCGAAGCGAGACATAATCTGAGACAAGCCAGTCTGAAGCTCCTGAAAGAGAAGAAGAGCGGGTCCCACAGGTCCCGGAAGACAGATGACAGGATGGTCACTGAGGATGGTCACTGGGGTCAATGAGTTTTTGTTCAAATCCACCTATGCGGGCCTGTTCACGTGTTTCATCCACCAATCCACGAAATCATCAAATCTATGACCTGCACATGTTGGATGAACTTCCGATAGTCCAACAGCGCAGTCCAAACTCGATGCTCCAAATCAAGCGTTCCAGCGAGAGGAGCGGTTGCGAAACTCAGACAACACACCGAGAAACCCCAAGGTGACAGGTGACGGGTATATAGATACTGGTAGTCTTCTCAGTCCTGCAGCGAAGAGGAGTCTTGAATCTTTGCAAGGAAGTTGCCAACCTCCTGCACACAGGACGGCAAAAGCTGTGCTTTCTCCTGGACAAAAATGGCTCATGTCCGGATTTCCCATGAGCACGAGGTCCCCACAATAGAAAGAGCTCAAGGAGGCTCAAAGAAAATAAATAGGAATCACTAGCTAGCACATACCATCACGATCTATCATTAAGCAGTGTATTTTGCTATGGTGCCCTGGGTGCTCTTTCTGGTTCTCATGCATCCTCTTGCTGCATTCCAACTAGTAATGCCCTTATCTACTAATAGCGTCCTTGTTACTAGCAGTAATGCCCTTGCTACTAGTAGCGATGCCCTTGTTCCTAGTAGCTTCTAGCTACCAGTCTCCTGCTTCAACCACTTGGACTTGGGCCAATCAGAGCCCTCAGCGCGATTCTCATTGGACACCACGAAGACGCCGGGGCCCAGCTTCAAATGGCCAACGCTCCAGTCCACACGGGACGCGGGAGGCGGCGTTCCATCGCCATCAGCGGGATTGCTCCAAAAGTAGTGGACCTGCAATGGATCGACGAAACGAAGGACTCAAATCGACTCAGAATGACTCATGGCACCACTAAATACAAAGCCCTTCGCCCATTTTGTCTTAAAATGGACATTCACCATGCGAGTTATGGTGCAGTATGTTCCAAGAGAAGTGCTTCGGGAAAAAAAGGGAAGGGATCATGTTTTAGCCAATGCTGACAAACATGTAACATGTCCAAGTATTTTTTTAAACAAGTTACCAATTCTAAAAGTCATTTCTTAAACTACTTGTTGTCTATACTTGCTGTCGCCTCCAGTTTGCGATTAGTCCCTTCATCCGCGGGACTATCATGGTCAGCTCCTTGACCAATGGGAGTTCATCCTGACGGTGGCTTTGATGGATCATACATGATCATACCACCACCTAGCAGGGCCGCTCCGACCACATCCTCAGAAGCTAGTTCTAGAGCCAAAACCTACCCCAAGCACCTTCTCAAGTGGTTGGAGCTTGCAGGGAAATGGCTCATCCCTCCACCCAAGTGAACCAAACCTCATCGGCTTTCACCTGAGTGGACCGAACATCGGCCTCCGGCTTCTGAGTAAAGATCTCGCCAGCCACTAAGTGGTACGGATCCTCAAACACAACGAGTTCGTTGCTGTCGGACCATTGGGCTGGACGGACTTCCGAGTGGAGGAGTTTTTTTACATGAAGGTTTAGGGAACTTTCTGCTGATATCTCTTGACCTGCCATTTCGGTTGGTAAACTTGTGGCCAAACGGGAACTGCTAGGTGTCCACCCATCTTGAGCAAAAAGCGGATCTGATTGTGCTGCTCTTTTCGCCAACGAGCGGTTGGCGGCCCAGCTCGAGTTTCTCGGAGTTTGCGCTCTTTGGCTGCCATTGTTTTGGACTACGTTTGGATGAACAGCGGAGCACTAAACTCTACTATATAATCCCTACAAGTCCAAAGGCCCAGTAAAACCAGGTCGTTTGCTTGCTTGAATAGTGCTTTTGTATGACCAACTCCAGTAAAATGAGGTCATTGACCTGCAGGGTAATACTATATAATTATACTAGGGGCTGATGACATAGGAATATGCTCAAATTATGACATAGGAATGTCCCTGGAATTAGTCCCAAGTCATCAGCCAGTAGCAAACTAGGTGAACGCACCAAATTGAAGGATTACATAGGGTGTGTGGGCATTGTGCCAGCAAGTTTACCTTTAAAAAACCTTAAAGAAAGTACCTGCCCAAGGTGAATACATGACCAGGAAATGCTCAATGACTTAGTCACGCGCCTTGTTTGTTTTATGTCATCTACGACTTGCCACATGCTATTTGGCTAATATAGTCCTATGTCATATGTGGTTTAATGTTCAAAACCTCTTGAAATCCAGAAATTTTAAAAAACATATGCGACAACATAATTGTTCATGCCAGGGCCCTTTTCGCACGTTTTGGCCTCATGACATAGGGTTTGTGGCATGTAGTATCTTTCCACATGACATAGGCTTCTACTACTTCGACTATAGTTTCACAAGCCCTATGTCATTAGCCCCTAGTATAATATGGTAGCACTTATGACTGACAGCCTTAGACTGTGGCTGCCTTTGGCCCTTGGCTACCTCGGAAAATTCCAGTGGAACCACTTAAAGAATCTTAAACAATCTTTAAAACATCTAAAAGACCAAACTTGATGGAAACTCTCCCCGTCTGAGTCCTAACACCCTGCACCCCCCACCCCACCCCACAAAAACATGCACTGCCTATGAAAACCAACGTTTGTCGTGGAACATGGTCATCCAAGGGACCATGCCATCCATTTCCATGATTCCACCTTAAGTGTAATACAAAAGAGGCATCCCTCCCGCGCTTTGCTGCACCCTTTTCTTGCATGCTCAGCATATGTCAGCATGAAACCGAACCACCCCTCGGTCCCTGGCACCACTGTTTCAAGTCTGGGTGACCCTCAAGGCCCTCACGTGACACCCCCGGTTCATGGCCACCCGGTCACTTGACCCCCAGAGCTGCTCCGCCGAGGAGCGATCTTCCGTCCACGCAGGAAGGACTCCACGGACTTGGGCCCCTCCAAGGCCACGTGCTCCACCAGCAAGCCACGGGACGTGCGCTCGGTACTGCTCCAGCGGACCTGGCTTGAGGTGGCGAAAGGCCACCTGTGGAAGAGACATGGGGAGATTCCTGCACCAAGACCACAGGGTGTAGGAGGTTGCAGGTCAAAAGCCACCCATCCATGAAATTTCATGTGACCTCTCTGAGCTTACCTTTGATCCCCAAAACTCGATGGCACCCAGTGGCTAGGCAGCGGCAGTTGGTCAATGCGCCGAAGAAGCCGCGCAGAGTGTGCATCCCCAACACGAAGCCACCAGCCTGGAGTGTGCATATCCACCGTGGCATATCCGGATCAAAGGGCACTGAAGAAGGCGCCTTCTAGGTCATCTTTGGACCCATTGAGGGATGTTGAGAGTCCTGCTAGTGATTACTTTCTATACATAGTACCCATATTGGATCCACTAGGTTTCCAGTCGCCTCATACAATTGCGTGGATGAACCCTCTAAGCCCAAGCATGTTGAAGTTGAAGCCATGTCCAGAAATTCCCCAAGTGGGCAGCCAGCCTGAGCATCCCGCCCACAAAGGAGCTTTGTGTCTTCCTCCAGGCCTTAGTCAGGTGAGGCAAAGCCATGCATCAGGTGTTGAAAAGGCAAGCTGGAGGCGTCCTTGACGAGTGCTGTATATCTTTATATATGTTTTTCTTGGGCCTTTCATAAGTCTTGCACATAAGTGCTAAGAAGACCCCCCAGAGAGATTGTGCATCCCCCGGAAGAAAGCCGTTACCTTGTTCTTCTTCCGCTCCGACCCTGGTGCTTGGTCAGTTCAGGCTCACTTCGTCGATTTATATATATATATATACATAGGCGTCTTGAGTCTGGATATCACACCATTTTTCGGCCTACGGTAATTGTATATCACATATGGTAAAATATGCCTATGTCTCTACTCACTTTCTCTCAGGCAATCCATCTCTTCACAGCCAGAAACAATCCATCAAGAGCCGTCTATAGCCGTCCCAGACTGGATCGATCTGACATGATCGTCATCAAACGCGAACTGATCGGGGCTTCCCCTCCAACGAAACCGATCATCGCTGGTCCAAGAGGCGATCCTCTAAGGAGGGCCGGTCGCGGTCTTCATCGCGGTTGTGGCAGCAAATGAAGGGAAAGGCTGGATGACACTCCTGAAGGGGCGAAGGGGGGGGGGGTCGCGGCTTATATAAGCGGAAGAAAGGAGCTTCAAAACGGAAGCAACGCGGAAGCTCCGGTGTTCGGTGGGAAGCAACATGGAAGCAGCCTGCGAGCAACGTGAGGATGGATCTGAGTGTAAGGAAAGGTTCCCCTGCTTAGCATGGTTCAGCAGTGAATTCATCTGTTGAGCCGCTTTAGTGCTCTGGAGGACATTGACTGGTGACCGCTCCGTCGGCTCCCCCAAATCCAATCCTCTCATCGATTGCTGTGATCCTTATGATCCTCTGCACATGTCACATCTAATGATGGTGTTTCAGTTCATATCTTGTATGTTTCCACCATTCAATTCTTTCAATCGCCCCCCCACCAAAAAAAGACCAACCATGGCTGAATATTGATTATGTTTGTGTTCTGTTGTTCTAGCTGTTCTATGGACGCAGGACGATCCATGGAGTGGGAGAAGACATGACAACGTCGCTTGGGGTGTCGAAATGTAAAGGAAGCAACTTTTGGAGGAATCATATGCTAGGTGACGAGGGCACAGTCCACCATTGAAGTTAATTATGGAACATCGTCATGCAACAGGAAGAAAAGGCCAGCAGCAGCTTCCCACTTTTACATCAGCCTAATGAGGCTGCAGGCACCCATCAGGTTTAAAGTCTTGTGAACCTGCCTGCCTGAAGTTCTCACAAGAAACCCCGACCTGCTTTGGGAGGCTTTCTCCTCCAACAGTCAGTTACCCCACCTGAGGCAGCCCTCAGTCCAAGAGTCCAGCGCAATCACCAGGATGCACATTGAGCCGCAAGAACAAAAAGGGTAAAAATGTTGGTACAATGTTGGTATAAGTTGTTGGGATAAGTTATACCAATAGTGTTGGGTTATAAGTTATAAACATAAATTTTCCAATTCAACAAAGGTTGAAGACTTCTTTTGGTGGAGTTAGGCTCTGGACAAGCCGAAGGCCTCTTAGGTCTCTGCAGGAGACAAACGAATGATGATTCCACCTGTGCGTGTTCTGATCCTCTGTCTGGCCATCCGATGCAGTAAATCCAATTCAGATTCAAATTGTGTAAATAGCCTTAAGAGTGTCCGGCATGGATGGCTTGCAACAACATGGTCAGTTCTGAAAGTGTAGCTCACACGTTCTGCGTAAGGAGCCAGTTCAGCTGCCGGAAATACAAACTCAAATGCACGGGAATATGACATATGGCCTAATATGGCTGATGAAACTAAGTTGATGGCACTGAGTGAAAACAAAAATCCAGGAGGGAGTGTCTCCCCCTCCGTCTCCTCCAAACCAACCACGTGCGCCTTGTTCCAAAAACAGCCCATTGGGATTCTTGAGCTGCTCCATGCTACTCCAGCAACCGTCGAGTTCATTAAGGGCCCTGTTATGATGTTGGATAGTAGGGAAGGAAAGGAAACCGAATATAGCGGCGTTCCTAGAAGACCCGGAGAAGCTAGGCCGGATTCCGTCAAAAGTATCACGATCCTTCTGATTATTGGTAGTCTCTTTCACATGCATCATGCCATGTCAGTATAGTATGGGCCTGCAGGGCCTGCGGGAGCACACATGTCTTCCAACCTCCCTTCCAACATCTATTAATTCTAATCTTATGTTCCTCACATCAATCCCACCCTCTCCCCACCTCCTCAGTTGCTTCTTGTTCCTACTAAAACTAATTAATTAATAGCGATGGCCTCCACCTAGTAGCTTCTAGTTACTAATATTTTCTGGTCCCCCTCCTCAACAAAACCCTCCAGCTCCCGAAACTCCCGCGCCTTGTGTGCTGCCGCTTGCGCCGCCATCGCCCGTGGCTCTAAATCTCCCGGCAGCGACGCGGCAAAGTTGGCGCCCGCGATGGAGGCCCTCAGCGGTGGCAGGATACCCTATACAGGGCAGCAATTATAGCACCTAACACATTTAGTAGCTTCTTGTTCCTAGTAGTAATGGCCTCCAACCCAATAGCGATGGCCTCCAACCTAGTAGCTTCTAGCTACTAGTAGCTTCTTGTTCAGGCTGGGATTGGATAGCTTCAATGACCTTCAATGCAGCAGAAAAAAAGGATGAAACACAGGGTTGTTCTAGCACATGAGCGCACAGTTTTCCGCGCAACTGCTGCAACTGTTGGGTCGAATCAGGAATCTGAATTTGTGGAACTTCTTCCTCCTCAACATGCAGCTATAGATTTCTATCAACCTACTTCGTGGCCTATTGGGTGGGGTGCTCCCCACTTCACCCAAAGACTCAGGCCCCAACTGTCTAGCCTGGCAAGACTGGGCTGACGCGAATTCAAAAAGCTGAGCTCAAGCTCAAGCTGGTGAAAAAACATAAAAACCCACACTTTGAACATGTTCCATCTATTTTTGGGGGTCCCACACCGCCCAGCGTCCATTGGATGATCCCCCATGTCGTCCCAACGCCGTCCGAACCCTGAAACAAACTTCGCGTTTTTTGCCACATGGAGACCTGGTACTGACGCTTTGGACCCACAGTTTGACGGTTTGGATCTTCCTTTTGAAAATCGACCTCCACATCGGGTCGAAGAACGCCTAAGAAGCCTCGACCCGACTAGAACCATGGCGGTTCTGCAGCTGCAAGTCACTGCAGTACACTGGTATAGTTTTGGGAAGGAAGTTCCTATACCAAAAAAGGGGGTGGTGCAATGGGCTCGCAAGTGCGGACCCATAAGGGAAGCATTGATCAACGGACCCTTGCATCATACAGCTCATGATCGTGGTCATTCTCCAAGGTCGCTTGCTTCCTCCGACCCCAGGACTCCCCTCCAGGTCGGCAGCAACCGGGGGCGACCTGGACGTGCCCAGTGCGACCAGGTCGGCGCGCCGCGGTTGCGCCGCGGGTGCCTGTTCGCGCTCATCATAGCCCCTCTCCTTGGAAAGTGTTCGGGCCGCTTGTGCCGCTGCCAGCACTGCATCGTCCAGGCCTTACTTGTGCCGGTTGGAAGAGAAAGTGCCGCCCCTTTGCAAATGAGTGCTGTGAGTGGAGAATGAATATGATATGACATGCATTGATATACCCTGTCACAAGGGGCAATCCAGGTGGATTAAGTGCAGGACGACCCTAATTTAGCGCTGTAGGGGTCTGTTTTTCAATGGTCCAATTCACCCCCAAATCTTCAACATATTTCTCTTCAACGTGCCTCACTTCTTTAACCACTCTTCAATATTCAGAACATCATTCCAGGTTTCTTTCACCACCTCTTCCAACCGAGTCACCACGACCGCACCGAGTCACCGGCGTGAAAGACCACATCGCCGAGTCACCGGAGCCGGACTTTTGTGCCTCTTCGCCGGCCCGCTGGGCCGAGTGCAAGATGTCCTGCATCCCACGGTGCACCCGCACCACCCACGGACCCCCGGCGCACCCTTCCACCGAAGGTTTTGCGCCTCAGAATTTGTGTTGTCCCTGAGACACCCGTTTTCGCTCACATGCAGAATTGAGGAAGCTTCCGGGATGTATTCCACATGTTAATATGCTTTCTTTAACTTTTGGATGGTCCCCCTCACCCTTCCCGTGAGTGACAAACTGGCGAAACATGCCATTCTGTCCCACCAAGTCTGATGCACTGACCCCCCCGTAAAACGGGACAGCCTCTTCCTTCCTGCCATGTTAGACGGGAAAAAACTGCTCCTTGAAGTCCAGCCGATCAGTCACGGTGTCTTTAGTGAAGCTCTCCTCCCACCATTCCAGGGCCTTGGTCGTTGAATACTGCCGAGATATATAACTCAATGAAAACGTTAAGGTTGGAGCCTCTGCAAATGATCTGAGAAGAACCAAAACATGTCCACACCATTAAACTTGAAATACAACTAAGACTCAAATAATCACTCCATCGCATCGTTCTCTAGTTTGTGTTATTTTCTCTTAACCGCCCTTTGAGCATGAAGCATTGGTGCTCCGAGTGTCAAAGCCCATTTCGATGATCACATCATGCCGTCGATTTGGAAGCATTGGGACACATATGACACGTATGAAGAAAATTGTCGGTGAAACAAACTTCTGGAACTTCAGGTGCGCACCAACACCTGGAACTAGTGCTCTCTAATATGGTCAACAGCAGTTGAAGCAGGCAAATTTCCAGAAAAACTCTCCCCCTACGATTAGTGACCACCAAGTGTTAGTTCAATTTGGCTGAATCTAAAGGATGGTGTGATCATTTTTTTGGGGCGCAAGAACCATGCCAGCCCATCTCCCAAGAGACCATGTCCCATCCCATCCAGTCAAGGCTCCATGTCGCCAGCCCGATCCCCCGTTCGGCCGAGGCCGATCCCCGGAGTCCGATTTCACGCGCCAAGGCGCGGCTGCCTCACCAATCGCAGCCCATTGTTCCTGAGATGCGAGGAAGAAGACTCGGCTGACCTCAAATCACTGGGAAACTTCAAGAAATGGCACAAGTTACCCCAAGTTGGGTGGTTGTATGGTGGTTGTATGGACCCCCATCTAAAGGACATCTTGGGGGTTGTGCCATCTACTCTGAAACCACTGTAACATAGAAGTGGAACAAACCCTCTCATTTAAGGCAATCGCATCTAATTAGCACGGGCCATTCTTGACTTCAATGATGTATTACAACAATGTGTTCGTCAAGTGTGCACTTTACATCACTTTACTAACAGAGCCTAGCAGTGGTGAATAAGACATGGAGTTTGCAACGGATCAGATGTTGGAAACCTGTTCTGGGAAAGAAAGTAAACCCCGCATGACCAAATCAGCAGGTTGACCCTTTTCTTTACTTCTCTCAGCTGTACGGTCTAGCCGGTAGCCAACAGGTTCACCCAAAAGAATCCAAAAGAACATGTTCAATCTCGGTTCGTTCATTTTAATATCATTTAATTAGCCAGCGTCCACGAGAGTAAAATGAAGTGTCCTCTTTGAAGATTCCACTTTGGACGCCGAAGGCGGAACCCTGGCCCATTGGCCCTGCCCACCTGCCTGGGTTGCCAAGTCCTTCTTATAGACTGCGGCCACTTTCCGCAAAGCTGTGTCGACGGCTGTGTACGTCTCCTGACAGGGGCAGAAAAGGAACAAGTTTGGCACAACAGTGCAGCGGGTGACCAGTCCAGGTTTTCACGAGCCAAGTGGCTCGAAATGGACTTCACCGAGCCAAGTTTTTCTAGCAACTCTCGTCGTCATTCTTCGAAGAATAGCCATTCTGGCCATGGGTCGACCTTTCACGTCCTACAAACCACTCCTTCGGCCCCCCAAATGGGGGGCCTTGGTTGATGGACTTTGCTCATGTGATCAGCTCCTACATCAGCATTCACAAATGCCACAAGCACGCAAAAATGACTCATCGACTCACTGGCACCCTGGCACGCCTTTTTGGTGGCCCCAGCGGTTGCAACGACCAAGGCGCCTTCCTGGGCTGCAATGATCAATTGCCTCGGTGGCCGGGAGACACGTCACCGTGAACCTGTGAACCGTGCGGTTTGCTCGTCTTGGAGGTGAATCAAACCGCAAGCATCACATGGCCGGCGTGGCCGGAAATTGAAAAAAAAACAAACAAGATCAAACAACCGACATCGTCAAGACTCAAGACATCTCAAGATATCATGATATCCAAGACTTTACGCCGTGCACCATTGCTCGGAGGCACAAGATCACACGACGGAAACAAAACGACAAGCAAGGTCATCACAAACATGACCTATAATAGCTAAATAGCGCCCAGTTCTGCTAGGTTATAGAAACCCCAGATTTCATGGCTTCCTTCGCATTCCCTCTCGCCCTTATCCCCACCGACCGGCCCCACCGCGGTGCTTTGGTGGCAGGCTCAGGCACTGCTCTTGACTCAAGCCGTGGCCGTGCACCGTGTCCGCGGCGTCCAAGGCCTCGCGCACCGCGTAGTCGCAACGATCCTGCACCTGAGCGTCGGTCGAGGTCGAGAGATGTCGACCTGTCGTGGGCGGCTGGAGGTCGAGGTGGAAGCGCGAGCCGCGTCCAGGTCGGGGGCTGCGGTGAGGGGGGTGATGGGTCAAATGAAAGCGCACCATGGTGCACGCGCCCAGGAGGCATCTGAAAGTCTGTAGTAGTAGTCTTATGATGTCTTATGTTGGTTTCATAATGCAAGTCTTTGGAGTCGTCCTGAGATTCCTCTGGATGTGGCTGGTGGATGCTGGGCGAGGGGCGAGGCTGGTCTGCAAATGATCAAGTACATCCTGTTCCAATGTCGTCCTTGCGGGCTAAAACTGCTCACCGTCTCAGCCAAATCAATCGCTCGGTGGTAGCTCTGTCAATGCCGAAAAACTCATGAACACATCAACCACCGCAACGTCACCCCGCCCGTCACCCTGCCAGGGTCATCACCGTCTCATCTCGGGACTTGGAAAAGACCCCAGCAATGCCACCCGCAGCGTACATGGCCTGCGGACGTGGCGAGGCGCGAGGCGAGGCAAGCACAGGGAGCTACTGGGCCAAGTGTCTTTACGCTTTTTTGTGGATTTGGTAAGGGCACCAGTGATCTGGAACCTCTTGGATGTTTGTTCATCCCTCATTAATTATCCCTCAACAAAAAGGCATCACCATTCCCTGCTCATCTGCTCATCCCCCAAAACTCCGTCAAAATGAATTGAGAAGAACATTTCATATGGATTTTTTTGTGCGTGTGTTGTGTGCAGAAAAGCTGCCAGCTGACCTGGGAACCCAACTGCGATCCTAAAGGACTTTTTCAATCTTTTTCAGCCTGAGTCCAGAACCGGACTTCTCAGCGCCACTCCATCTTTGGCACGGACCACTCAGCTGCTTCGTCGGGCGGTCCAAAGCGCTCGTTCAGGTGCTCGTTCAGCTGCTTCATGGCCGAGACGGCAAAGACGAATTGGTCGAACTTCTGAGGTGAACTTCGTTGGGCCACGGTGAAAGTTGGGTACTAAGGACCAGGGAAAGGTAAATAACTGGTCAAGAGATTTCATTCCTGTTCTTCTCCATTAGTTTTCTCATCAGCGACCAGTAGGCAGCCACGCACTTGCTTGAGGAGTCGCAGGGTCCTTTCCGTGTCACCACCATCGGTGCCCAGGACGACGAGCTGGGGAGAAATAGATCGCAATACATTGGACATCAGCATGGTCACTGCAGATTCTCTGTAAGGAATGCACCGTGTATGGCGTCGTTTCCCATCAGGAAGGAGTTGCCGCAGGACTTGAGATATAGCCCAGAAGATTTTTTGGTCGGGTATGATGGTGCTTCCCTCCTTCAGCCGGTCTGGTGGAGAGCTCCAGGATGGAAGACAAATGAACTGGATGAGTGAGGGGAGCCCCAGGTGCTCCAAGGACAAATAAATATTGAAGACCTTGGATTTGTACCAGGAGACCCTAAGGCATGCTTCTTGCCACGACCAATGCATATTACTTAGACTTTTACTGTATATAATAATCCGCCCGGCTCTTTGGTCTTTTCTGCCATCCATTAGGCAATTTCCATGTTGGACCCACTGACCCCATCAACCCCCCAAGTTCGCACCCAACCAGTTTGACCTTCAGGTTTGGTTGGACAATAGTTGGACAAACCAAGGCCTGTGCATGAAAAAGGCCGTAAAACCCAGACGCTTCAAAAACTACAACTCTCGACCTCAAATGGCGACATGACCCCGCATAGCTCGACATGCTTCCCATCGAGGCAACGTCCCACAAGATATCTGCCGACTGAAGAGGGTCGGGGGATCCGAAAGTGGTGTCTGGGTAAACCCTAGCCTTCAAAGACCATTAAAAGAACGGTTGAGCTGGTGGTGTAGTGTAAAAATCCTTAGTAAAACAATGGCTCTTTGGCAAAAAACATTAAAACAATGGTTGTTTGAATCCTAGGGTAAAAATTGTTGAGGCAATCCAGGAGTACGAGCGATGTCCTTGCCTTGGGAGAAATGTAGCGGTCACGTTCATGTCGGTTTGCCAAACCCAGCAGCATCGCGGTTGACACATCTATGGGGCGCGGTTGTACTCCTTCCAGGGTCACTTGATCCTGGCTATAGTGCACAGGATGCTGATGCTCCCAAGTGGTCTCCTGGGTTGGTTGTATAGTCAAAGCATTGTGATAATTAGTCAATTAGAACAACCATGCCATTCCAAACGGGAGGCAAACAAAAGTGAACATATTCCCAACCACGACCATGCCTCCCCGGCCAACAAATCATAAGCTTTTTCGGTAACTAGTTCAATGAACTCGACTGCCACAAAGCTTGCTCGGACGTGGGCTTGGAGAAACTCATGTGTCTTCAGGACCAATCCATTTTCTCCAAAAATACCCTGCATCTTTCCAGAGTCGGCTGCACCGTAAGCAAGCAGTAAGGCTCGTCGTCCCTTCAAACTTTGCAAAAGAATGTCTTCCCAAAGCTCCATGAAGAGCATGGAGCCATCAGCTTCATCAAAAACATAATCCAACTCAATCGACTTCCCTTGGGCGTCGGTCACCAAGCCATGCACCGTGTCCAAGACCAAAGGTGCCCTCTCGTCCGCGCACGGGGCTGAGGGTGGTTGACAGCGAAGAAGCACGCTGATAGCATGCTTCCGTGGAGCAAGAAGGATTTGCAGGTCTTGATCCTCCGTGAAGATCTGCCATTCAGAGAGCACGCCGTCTTTGCCGACCAATTGTGTGGATTTGGGGTCAGCCTGACGAAGGCAGCCACTCCGGGGCAGGGCAAACAGCTGGCGCTTCAAGTTCTCCACATTGGAGGCACTGAAACGGCCGAGTTCTTCGCCAGAGACGAGCGACACTGTTAGGATGGGCGCCATGGTGGAACAACGGATGCCATGAGCTTAACTTTCAGGCGAAACAACATGAATGGCCTGACAAGTGTTATTTTGGCAGCACTTTTCTCCAGGTCTTCCGTAATTAGTAATTATTGCAGAAGGGGTGCTCGAGCACCTGTTTCCCAGTATTTGTTTCTCAGGAGGGTGAGGCTGGATAGATACATAGTTTGGCAAATCTCATCACCACTAAGACACTAAGGGTGGATCATGGATCAAATCGCCAGGCCGACGATATGGTTTTGCGATGCCATGCACATCTATGCACCTAGACCGGGGGGTTAGCCACAGTCTCCAGTCATGTACATGTGGTGGCTGTGTTCGAACTTGTCCGCCTGCCACGCACATCTAGCAAACTTGAGCCTCAAATCATGGTCTCCAAAACCTAGATGTAAAATACATAGTGCAAAAAAAGATCCTTACAGATCCCTACAGTAATATTCAATTTTATGATCTTTGGCCTTTGGGTCTCCAAAACCGACCGTTGACTTTGGCTCGACCTCTTCAAGCTCGACCTCCCTGGAATCAGATCGACCGACTCCTCTACCGCCTCCAAGCGCGCGACACGAGACGTAGCCCGACACGAGACGTAGCTATACGTGCCTGGATCATGAACATCCCTGGTTCTGGTGCCATTTGTACATGTGGTGCCGTTGGGTGCTGTTGTTCGTGTGCCTAGTGGCCTAATGCCAGTTGAAAGCCAAAGGCCCTGAGGCCCCAGCCCTAGACCTGAAAGAGGATGTTTAAAAAGTCGATCCCGCCGAATAATCCCCAAGACCCAAACCCATCTTAGCTGTAGAGGTTTCGTTTGGATGGAAATCCTCGTAGGCTATAGACACCAAAATCCATTTAGATCCTTGCCCCACCAAAATGCCGTTCAACTCCACGGTCGCCCCGTAACCCATCGCGCCGCGGAGTCCCCGCTCCGCGGGTTCCGCGGGCTCCGCACCTGTTGCGCTTGGTAGGCCCGTGTGTGGTTCGTGTCGGCGAAGTCGGCGGCCGCCCGGGCGGCGGCGGCGATCTGGGGCGTGACACCTCGGATGAATCGGATGTATCTAAGTGGGTAGGAGTTCAGGAGGATCTACGTAACAATCAGCAAATCACATACTGGTTGACTCATATATCTATCACTCTACTGAGTGTGGCGAATCTAACATGAACTGCCATGAATCCTTAGCTCGGACCTGGGCAAAAGAATCTTGCTACAAGTACTAGCTACATGTCTTTTGTGCCTGGAGTGCCCCAAAACACCCCTCTTCTTGGGTGTCCGCTGACCAACTCGGTGTCATCGCATCCGGTGGCTGGTTCGAAGCCAACAAATGAGGGTGCCAAACGAGTCTGCTTGGACAAGTTCCCAGCCTTTTCTGGCCCAGGATGTCGGTTGTCGGTAGTCCTCCATGTATTTGTTCCTCTTGCAGCTTGCAGGCGGGCCCGCTGATGATTCGGGGCCCAGAATGATGGTGCGGAGAACTCACCACAACTTGCAGAGGAACCGGTTCACACCCCAAAGGGGATCTTCTCTTCCCCTGGAGCCTGGAAGGTGTTGGAAGGTGTAAGGGGTGACCGGCAACCAGAGTGAATGGATGTGAATAGGGATTCACCAAGCCCAAGAGGTGGGCAACCACACCTGAAAATGCACACGATTGGCAAGCTCTTGGTCCTTAGGCAGAAGCTCTCACACAAGGCCTCCTGAAGCATATTGAACCCAGCTGCATGTGGCTTTCACAAATTCAACCGCTTCTGAACAAAACAACTGTTCAAGCGGACACCCCCTAACACCAAAAAAGAACACACAAACAGCCACTGGATGCCACTGGGTGCGAAAATCTCCTCATGGGGGGCGTGTTTTTCGCGCAGGTAGCGTGTCGCACCTGGTGTCTCCTTTGCCTGCCTGGGAACTTGGGATCTCTAAGTGGAAACCGCTGGACACGCTGCGACCGCTGGACACGCTGCGGCCGTGACCGAGGTGCTGTTGCCATCCCCGGCCGCGGACATGGCGGCCACACCACCCACCACTCCCGCGACGGTCTGTGCCTCGGGTCCCGCAGCGGCGGTCTGTGTCAACGGAGAGCTGCGTTTGTGTCGCGGTTGGGGTGAAGTTCGAGCAGCACCCCGCGGTTGGGGTGAGTTCTGATGGCTTCGCCCAGAAGACCTCCAAGAAAAGTATATAGTATATATAGGAGACTCCAGAAGCGGGTCCAAACTTGGGGCAATGGATGCTGGCAGAAAGTAAGTTGCCTACTGAAATGTTCTGGTCAGATGCTGACTCAATCTAAAAGCACTGTTTCAAGCGAAAAGGATTTACAAAACGGTGCGATCCTGGTGGCATTAGTCAACACCTGGAAGGGCCAGAAAGGTGCAAATGGTACCCAATGCCTCACCAATCACAAAAAAAAGCACGTTCCACAGCGGCGAGCCAGCCGGGCAACCGAGGCAACAAGTTGGTCACCAACAACTTCTGGGTCACTCGGTCACCTTTATCACCACTCTTCTCTTGAACAAATTCTTTGCACGTCCACATGTTGTGAGATTCTTGCCGTAGGCAGTCCTTTCAGTGGAACATTTGTCCACCCACATGTGTGCCTCCCATCCACTGCAGCCCCACATGTCCCAATGCCTTCTGTGTGTTGGAGAGGCCCATCAAGACCTGGACAGGGGTTGGATTGGGTTGCGGACGGGACACCGACGCCGTTTCTGCGTCCTCCCAAAGCATTCGAATGATTTGATCTTTGCTTCTTATGTGTTTGGGGGGGCAAATCTGACTTGGGACCACAAACAAACCTACTGTAAATGCAAAGCCAAGAAGAGTCTGTATAGCGTTCTCGAATGCCCTACTTATCCCTACTTTGGGATGTGGGGATCAGGTGTTGCTGAATCCAAGTGTCTCACTGTCCTACTTCAAGATCTGTCAAGATCTTCAATGTCCATGATCCTAGCCTTGTACTTGTATAATATATATATATAGTTATTCTGTAAAACACGACCCGGTGCAGACATCTCATGGATTTTTGCCACGGATTTTCTCCCACAAAACTCCGGCCCTCCCGCCGGTTCGGCCACTAACTCGTGGGCCAAACATCGTGATCCAATCGGATTGCCCCACTGTCTGATGGCCAAGCAAAGTGACTCAAAAACAGCCATGGAGTGGATCCGGTATGATCCAGTTCACCTTCCTTTTTGGTGGTGGTTCACCACTTCATATCTTCATATATCTTTATATTATCCACATCTTCCACGTCTTCCACCGTCCGAGTCCGGTTTTTTTAAACGTTCTGTGCCGGACCTCTCTTTCGCTCCCAGTGGCTCCGTTCTTATTCGCCGCCATGGCTGCATCGATCTTGATCTGGTGCAGATTCTTGCCAGCGGCCTGGGCATCTCCTCGGCACACAGCGCTGTGCGCGCTCGGCCGCCAAAGCTTCTAGCTCCTAGTAGCTTCTTGTTCCTAGTAGCGAGAATGCTTCTAGTAGTCATGCCCTTTGTTACTAGTAGCGTCCTTGTTACAAGTAGTAAGGCCAGGAGCGCCCCTAGTAGCGTTGCCAGGAGGGTCCAGTCATAGCGAACCTGAAGAGGTACGACTGGAGGGAGACATGTAACATCTCTATCTCTATCTACATCTCACAAGTGCACTTCACTCGTTCGTCTCATTTGGGTTTGCTTACGGCGCTCCTCTAGGTCTAGATTCTAGATGCATGAGTGCTTCAGTAAGACCAATCGAGGAACTTGATTGGCCCAACTCCAGTTTCAGGACTTACTTCTGATCATCTGATTGCTGCCAAGCTAGGCTATTCTTGAAGCGACTCTTGAAGCGCTCATTGGAACAATCTATTGCCTTGTCCCAATTGAACGGCCTCATAGGAGCCTACTGTAACCTATTCTGTTTTGTTTCCTGATTATTTAGTTGCCGTTTGATGCCTAATGTTTTTGAAGATTGATTTGATGATTAGTTCAAGAGTTCACGCTGGTGATAACTATTTTTTGCTTTGGGTATATATGGTTCTTTGGGGTTTGGAGCTTTCTATGGCTCTCGTTGACCAATTAGGTCATGTTAGGTCGTGTTTGGTTGACCAGCTGGTCGCCATCCCCACTCGGACGCCGGGTGGACACCGGCCGTGCCGGTCTGGTTCGCTTTCAGCCATGGCTCGTGCGGCATTCACGGCGGCTTGGTCGGTCATCTTCAAGGCTTCGGAGAGGGACGTCGCAGAACACCTCGGGGTGGTGGGCGGTGGTTGGAAACTCACCCTACAAATCCCTACAGAAAGAAGGCGTTGCCGCCATTGATGTTTGAATCGATCTAGTCAGCAATGGAGTCAGGTGGTTGGGTTCACAATGGCTCTTGCAAAGGTGGACAGAACTGTCAGAGTGAGTGGCATTGTCGGCATTGTGCACTAGAGTAAGAAAACCATAGAAAAACAAATCAATACAATTGATATGTGCACATGCTTATATGTAAACAACTAATAGATGTCTGTATCATGTCTGTGTAGTCTATGTGTTTGTGGAGGCTTGTGGGACATCCAACTACAGTATACGTCCCTGTTTCCTGGTTCTTGATCCAGTACGGCTCTAAGTCTGTTAGGATTGAAATCGTCTTGATCCTGACCCGTTGGCGTACGCTTCAGTGTTCCCACTCCATCTGTCTCAACACGAACGGAAGTCCGAGACACGTCTTGGGTCCGCTGATGGCGGTTGGCTTCATCATCTCAATCGCTTGGTTGCCTGTCTGAGGACTGGAGAGCGAGTGAGGAGCTGGGGCGGCCAGCGGAGGGTTCGCACAAACACCACCCGCATCACTGGCGTGATCTGAGCAGGTCATCCTCCCCTTCACACGAGAGAATCATTGGAGGGACCATGGCGTTCATGTATTCACACAGACTGATGAATAAACACCTTGAGGTACAATCCAAATGGAGGGTCTATGTTCCTCAACAGCCTACATGACGATTGGTTTCTGCATATGCTGTTCACCTCCAATCACCTTGGCATCGGCAGCGCATCAAGCCCCACGCGACACACTCCGCGCACAAACACGCGGCGAAAGGCATGCGAACCTTGAAGGAAGCACTTCTTGGTGTCAGTGTAGTAGGTGAAAACCTTGACTCAGTGGTTGAAGACGAAGGTCCCATTAATAACATCTTCCTTGGGATTCTAATTACATGATGGTCCCAGTGCCAGTGATGGTCCCAAACGCGAAGAATAAAAAAAGAAAACGTCCCCCCCAACACACGACTCCAGTCCCGAACACGTCATGCAGGTCATCGGTCAGCCAGTTGACCACTAGGAGGCGACTGACAACTTGGAGCGTCGTCACGCGCGCGTGTCAACCGGTTTTGCGACCTTCACAGGCAACATGTTTAACACAAGACTTGACTTGCTTGATTAGACTTCTTGAAAACCCGGCAACAATGAAACGAATGCATCCACCGCTGCAAGGGCGCCACAGCCGGCTGCTATATCTAACATATCAACTTCGGAACGGGTGATGCAAACCTCTACCTTTTCATTCAAGTTTTCAAGAAAAGTGAATTGAGATTATTGTATATATATATATATAGAAGGCAACAGCCTATTGGGATCCATTCCATTCCATGTTTTCTAATTAAGGGGCAGGTCGAAGGCCCGTCCTGCCCCTTATCGGCTGCGAGTTGAGGTCGGAACCGAGTTTTGGGTTTTGGATCGGCAGGTGGTGGGCAGGTGTCTCTCCACCCGCTGGTGAGTCCAGCATGACCAGGGCCCTGCTTCAAAGCACCAAATCTCCAACAACCAAGCATTCACAATCTTCAAGCCAAGAGCATCACAGAACCACATGTGATTGCAGGTCTCCTGTGCATGCCCAAGTAGCGTGTGCGAAGAACACAACTCATGCAATCTCATGTATAGTGCGTCATGAACTGTGCGGCAAACATACTTCCTCATATATATATATAATATAATATTATACAATACAGTGACGTAGAGCCTTGCAACACGTTCACGTGCGTGGTGACATATATAACAAAAAATGATGGAGCAAAGCACTTTTTGTGGGTTGATGATTGGCGGACTCTACATACTGAGTCATTCATGGTCGTTCCATGTCCATGCATTGCAAAAGAAGACTACCACCCATCGCTTGCTGCAGCAAACCATGGATGCAGAGCAGTCACATGGGTCGGAAACCATGTTGCCTTCCTCCCTCCACAGTTTCTCACACTTGGAGAGTGGACAAGAAGAACATAGAAGAACCAGGCCCAGGGTGGTGCAGGTCCGGTAGGGGAGTCCCAGTAGCGTCACGACCCGGCCGCGTTGGGAGTGGGACTCCCCCCCATCAAAAGGCTCGTTCCTTTACAGCATTGAATCTGCCACCTGCCAGCCACATGACCCGAACAGCTAATGATGCATAGTACTATGCATAGATATGCATAACTATATTTTGCATAGTATACGAGCTAAGATTTGCAAAGAAATGGATCACCTTGAAAGGGATCACGGGAGGCTGACCTTGTCGTGATGATTCTTCCATGACCTCCCGCAATTTCCGATACACGGCGTTTGAGGGCAGCATGCCCCCGGTGCTTTGATCGCACGTGACGGCCGACCACGGTGACAACAGTGCCGCGGCTGGAGCGCGTCCTGGCAGGTTTGGGCATTGGAGACGAAGCCTCCATTGAGCTCCTTGTGCCAGGAATCCTCATAGCCCCAGCCTGGCTTCGAGATCTGGTCGTGATGAACAACTCACGTGATTTTGATCGCGACGATCGATTTTTGGACGACTCGCTCACCAGTCTAACAAACATGTGAACGATCATTCAGCACATCTACCTTGGTTCTGGCAAATTCCCTACTTCTGACAGACCTTGGGCCACTTCATGCCACTTCTATTGCTCCACACTCTGTTATTGCTGAAATCACCCCCCAACAAATAACTCGTCAGAAACATTCGGAAACCGCAGGAACAGCGCAGCAGCTGCTGCGAAGCGATGCCGCGCAGGCCGAGCAAGCCTTCTCGATAGCAATTGTCCACGTTAGGCGCGATCGGCCCCACTTGCGACTCCTCACCACCGGCCGCAACAGCACCTGAGCGCAGAAACGAGCCTCGCGCAAAAAAAGGGACGGTGGAATACGGTGCAGCGAGCGGCACCGTTGATTTCAACGGACGTCGGCGTCTGTGAAGAGAGGAGGGTCGTGAAATGGGAGCGGGCTCGGAGGAGGGTCATCCTTGAAGTAGGTGAAGTGGGAGATCAAAAAACGACATCCGTTCATTGCATGGTCCACATTAAGTCACTAGCATTGAACACTTCCGCCAAATCAATGGGCTGCAAAAACTCTGAAGTCCAATTCTTTGCTATGAGTTTTGGATCCACGCTAGGCAGTGAGTTGCACTGGACCTTCCCAGAAGAGCCAGCATGCCCCCACAGTTCCCAAGACAGTACGGGTCAATCGAACCTTCTAAGGAGACCTCGAAAAGGTCTTACTGTCGTGAAAGGGCCAACGATGCTTCATGATGTTGCTCCTCTGGTGCCTCAGCTACCCCTCAGCGAAGTTTCTAGCGATATCACCGCCCTTTATATCCCTTGGTCAACCTTTCCAGTCGATCAACCATAACCCACCAAACCCCTCCTTCCTCCGCCACAGGCACTGGTCCGTGCTGCCGTGTCCGTCGATTGGGCTTCATCGAGGGCGTCGGCCTCCAGGTCAACGGGTGCCACTTGCGCCTCTTGTGCGAAGGCCGACGCCAACAAGAGCAGCACAGTGGCCAGCGAGGCCATGGCTTCACGGCAAACAATCCAGAGTGGTGCAAAAACCACGCTGGATCTGGTTCAGCTCGCCCCCAAGCAGGGAAAAGAGAGTTCTCAGGCCTGGAAAAGGTCAGCTCTGCAATTCAGAGGCTACTTGCGTTTTTGAAGCGCGCCCACCTTGAAGAATGATGTAGCCTTCCAAACTTTGAAACTGCCAGTGCTCGTTACCTTGCTTCCATTTTTGGATGAGCTTCTTGCATGGCATGGGATCGGTCGGATCGGTCATCAAGCGGCCCTCGCTTGATTCCAGCGGCAGGAGGGACCAACAAATGCAGCAAAACTCCCGGGATCTCTCGGGTTCTTTCATTGAAGCAACTTCCAGGACTCCCTGCTCCTCTTTTTCAAGCCAAAAAATCCCTGGAGGTTGATGTCATTGATGTCACCAAACCATTAAAAAGCAACTAAACCAGGCCCAGAAATGCGGTTCGGACACCGAACAACGAGGTTTTGGCTGCCACCCCGGTCCTTTTGTTCCGCCAGCGACGCGTGACCGACTGCTGGAGAGAGCTGAGCCAAGCCGCCTCTTGGAGGAGACTGGACCGGCGCTGGAGGAACCTCCATGGACCGTGCCCTGCAGTCAGCATGGTCTGCCACAAATCCGTTTGAGGGTTTTCGTCGCCCGCGGAGCGCCCAGTGGGCCATGGAGATCTCGAATTCACGAAGCCGATGAGGATCGCGGATCCCATCAACAAATCACTAAATCACTCCTCCGGAGAAGAGAACTACTACGCGTGCACAGACTGCTCATGATGTACAGTTCAGAAGGTATCCCGCCTGACCAACACATTTGGGCCGTGGCTACGTACGTTGCTTTTTGGGCTCTCTTCCTGGCTAACTTCCTGGCTCTCCGTGTTGGCAACCAATGCTGAAACACCTTTCGAACGATCACTTGTGATCCGAACATCTCCTAACCAAACAGCCAGGAGCATGAGGCCGGCACAGGTTTAGTCTCACCGCACGGACACTTCGGCCACAACCCGGGGCACTGCAGAAGACTATAGGAGCGTTCGGACGCGACGTTCGGGGCTCCTGGCCATACTAAGTGACTAAGTCTTCAAAGTAAAGGCCTCAGCCTTTCGTTCCGTCAGCCTTTCCATCCATCACCCCACCACCCCCAGGCCTCAGGTCACCTGGGCCGCGGCCTCCTCGTGGGCCATGCGAAGCTGCGAAGCCCTCATGCGCGCCCTGCGCGTTCAGCGCGTTCTCCGGGTGTTTCACGCCGGTGTGGGACTCATGGTGGATCCAATTGGACATCAAAAGCACACATCAAAGTCCTGAGTCACTAAGAGTGTTGGGAATTTTGTGCGCATGCCGAGAACCAGGCCCAAAAACCCAGGGACCTCTGTCAAACGAGCTCACTGGAAGCACGCGGGGGTTGCCCCTGACTGGGAATAGTTTGGAATGTGACCTTGCCAAGTGCGTCGGCGTGTTTCCAGGGCTTCCATGTGCTCCATCACGCAGGCGACCCCCGTCCCGCCACGCCTCCAACGTGAGGTGCATGTGCTGCGTGAGCTGGGTGCGTTGCGTGAGGCCACGGCCGGAAGTCCTGGAGACGTCGAGGCGTCGCCAAAACCTCCTGTCTGGTCTTTGGCCCGTTTGGGTGTGGCTTTTTGGGAGAGTGTTGGGTTTTTGAGACTCTGCCAATAACCGTCCTCTTTTCTGACAAGGTCGTCAACATGGAACCTTGCCCAGGCCGTTCTTCTGAAAATGACGCGGCTAAAGCCGATGGTAACAAGTATCGAGTGGTTTCCACCGCTTTCCTCCGACACGCAGCTGCTGGGCACATGCGGACCGATCAATCTCCTGATGCCCATGTCCTCCGGCCAAAAGGGAGGTGCCTGTCAATGGATTAAGGGAACATCATGGAACAGGAAACCATCAATCATGTATAGGCAGGGTCTACAATAATGAGTCAAACTTTAGGAATGAAGGTTGCCTGGCACAGGTTTGCACAGGCCGGCTTGACTTGAAGTAACATGAGTCCACTCCTTTCGACAGAACACCCGCGTGGCCATCCAGGCATTTGGACACCCTCGTGGCCATCTTGGCCACTCCCCCAAAGAAGCCTTATTGTCAAATCCATTGCAACGAGTCTGGGCTGCTGTCCGTCGCTCAATATCTTCTCACACGAGTGGTACTGGTAATGAGTTTGTCAACGTCCTTCGAGCCAGGGAAGGTGTTCCATCATTACGTTCCGTTATGATTCCCGCACGAAACATGACATTCGGTGTTTTTTGAATAAGTTCGAACTACCTTGGGGTCCTTGACTCTCCAATCAAGTGCGCTGTCCAATCAAGTGCGCCCTCTGCATCGTTTTTCTGAGCGATCTTAAAAATGGGTCTGTGCTGGACCCTTGTCCAAGCCTCACCGCCAGACTCCACAGAAACATCGACGCAAAGCAATGCCTGCAGTGGGCATCTGCCATGCTCCCTGCAGACAAGTCTTTGCATGGGAAAAAGCTCGGTCAAACTACCGAGCTGAAGCTTCACTGGAGCCTTCCCCAGTCAGGAACATGCAGCACCTCATACTTACGCCTTGGCCAACTTGGATGAGTTGCGCAAACTGAAAGGTACAGTAGACCTTTGCCTAAACTACTACAGTCTGCACCTCATCTGGGGCCACCTCCCCAGTGGCCGCCTTGAGGCAAGTCTTTGATGGGCTCATATCCTTCAGCCTCTTCTGGAAAGCTCCTCCAGAACTGATGACTGATAAAGCCCTGATGACCGATGATCCAAAGGTCACGCTTGATCCACTTGAATGAAGCGGTCTGGCACCCGCTTCAAGGAGCAACTCCGCCACATCAGTATTTCCTGTGAGCTGTGCCACTTGCAATGGTGACAGAGCTTCAAAGCTGACCTTGCGGTTCAACGGATGGGCAGGTGGGTGGTGAATATCAACAAAGCCATGCCTCTCCAAGAACTCCATTAGTCGTTCCCTTCTTTGCATCTTTTGTGCGATCAAATCTGGATTGCTCAGGTCCAATCTCACCATGCCGAACAGCAGGTCCGATGAGGTTCTCCCCTGGATTCGTTTGGTGCTGCTTGAGCCACAAAAGAAACGCATTGGAAACACCTGGCAAAAATCGGAGTATGGACCTCAATTTGGGGCTGGATGTGGACAAGAGGTTCCCACATCTTCCCTCGTGTTAATCATGGTACCTTCACATCGAAAACATCCAGTCCCACTGCCAGCTCCCACCTTTGAGCACCTCCACGCAGGCAGCATCCCCAGCAATAGTTTTTGAACAACACATCGTCCAACCAATCTCTGCCCCTGAAATCAGTCTCTCTGATCAAAAGCTACTCCAGCTTGGACCTCGTTCTGCTCCTCTGCTCTTGCAGGAGCACATCCACCAAGAAGTGCGCCGAACATGTTTTGTTGCTACGAATTAGTTGTTCTACTCGATGCCGCACTCATGCTTCTTCCATATATATATATATATATATACACGTAACAGTGCTAACAAAAACATCAGGTCACACCGCTGGGCGCTCAAGATCGACCCCGAACCCTCACCCACTTGGCCCAATTTGCACCACCAGGTGCGGTGCAGTTCCACCACGCCTGGATGGTGAGCGCCAAAGGGGTGGAGACCTCACAGCGAACATGATGCAATGATGATCCAAATTTCTTCCTCTCCGATCTATTCATACTACCTGGTTGGTGTTTTCAGCCCACTTCATCCCAATATTAGTCAGAGGGCCCAATCATCCCCAAGTAAGGGTCGAAAATAAACATATCCGAAACCATCACCTAGCTACAAGCTTCTTCCACTAATTAGTAGCTTCTGGCCTCCAACCTACTGGCGATAATCCAAACACCGAGCATGAGGCGTCTGAGCATTGGCCCCAAATAGATCTGACGGCTGGCGCCTTAAGGGTGGCCCACTGGGGGGCGGCCCCATCCCGGATGCTCGTGAAGAGATACTCCCCAAGTGAAGAGATGCTCAGCCATGCTATGCTGAGCCAGGCTATGTCGTGGTCATTGACCTTGGAACTCAGTAGGGTGCCCCATCGGACTCCGTCCAGATAGGACGACCGGGTCCATCCGGGTCCAAATCCGGGTCCAAAGTATGCCTTCAGCGAAGGGATGAGCAGTCAGGCAAGACTAATCGACATTCATGAAAAACAACCAACATGATTCACATGATCTTCAAATCCAACAAAGTTCTCACTGTTCACAGCACACTTCCGGAGGATTGTCTATAGTAATCTGTAGATAAGCACAGTGCCACAAATTCCCGGGGCTGATATAGCACGCATGGCCACGCAGCAGCCAGCTCTTCATTGCCCACACCGATCACTATGCCGCCCACCATGCAGGCCGTGCGAAGGATGGAAAAGAGGACCTCAGGCCATGCCGCCCAGGTGTCACGAAATCCCAAACACTGGACGAGTGAATTAGCTGGTCACGTCCATCAAAGATGCTGGTGGACTGCTGGTGGATTCCATGGCCACATGAGGGACGATCGAAGTTCATCTTAGTTGAGACCCGACGTCCGTTCGCTCCGAGCTTTGGGGCCTGAACGTCCAGGCTCCGGCCTGCCGAGATCCAGGTCCAGCTCCAGGTCCGTGCTACCCCCCGACCGAGTGGAGGCCCAAGCGACTGGGCGCTTTGCCATCCGCGGTCGATGTGTCGCGTGGAGCTGCGCGATCCGCGGGCGCTGGATCCGGAGGTGTGGGCGAAGCGTCCTGGCTGGGGTGAGGTAGGCGCCGATGGGTGGGGGTTGAAGGAGAGAGCCAAACAACAGTTCAGTTACTCCAGGAATTGGCCCAGGAGCCCTTTAATTGGCTGGATTATGCTGGATTCTTAAAGTATAATGATTCTTGGAGTTCTTTGTCCACTTCTGCGACGGTTGGATAAAGGATGACAAATGTGGATCTGATGAGGATGAATTATGGATTTTCCTCCTGTGCGGGGGGGCAAAATGAGCGTCCATTCTGCTGACGCCTTGGGTGCCTCGCAGGTCTGCCAATGACTGGCACTGACCGTCCCCCGATGCCTTCTGATTCTTCATCAATGGTGTCTCTTCACCACTCTCCGCCTCAAGTAGGCCAGCAATCTTTGCAGTGTTCATTTTTTGGACCGATAGGTGTTGGTCGACATCGACTTGCTCTTCTGGGTTCCGTCTCTGCGATGTCCTATAAGTACAAAAAAAACGCATTCATTTGGGCCCTGTCGCTTTGTGACACCTCCAAGCTATTAGTATCGAGCCTGCACCCTCCAAAAACACATTTTCCGACGGGAGGCTCCAGAGTCCACGGAAGCTCGTGACGTGTGTGGCTTTCGGGTCCTGGCCGCTTCCAACAAGGATAGGAGTAGTTCTACTGGTCAAATAGTGGTCATGAGGCTGGAAGGTTGCCCCAAATAGGGAAATGAAAAGCACACATAGGGAAGGCGAAGGGTATGAAAGGGTCATGAGATATAGCTAATTAAGAAGTCATCATATGATCTTAGTGATTAGCACTTGGCGGATGCTAGAGTTAGCCTGAGTTAGCACATAATTCAACATCTTGGTCGAAGTGACCCAGTTCCCACTACTACCTGCACTGGGAAGTTGGCTTGGCCGTCAATCTTGACATCCGTGAATGCCAGGTTATGGCCCACTGACTTAGCAGCTAGTAACCAGCATCTCCTCCCAAAGAACATGTATATAATTATTCTTGATTCACCTCCCATGGTGGCGTGTTGTGTTTATTCCTTTGAATGATATGCCTTAGGGTTTGTGCCGGGGATAGTGAGTCGCGGTTTTGCGCGGTGGTTTGAGCGGCATCTCCCACTACCCCGTTTCAGCAAACAGCTCGCAGCCCGTGGGCGAACTGGACATTTGAACACTGCCGCTCGTTAGGGTTGACCTGTTTGGAACTGGTGCCCTGTCATCAAGAGTGTGCTCACCCCACTCCCAAAGGGCACACGCAAACAAACAAAGTCCTTGGTCCTTGATCTCTCCGAATTGCCCCCTCCAACAGCGGCGCACGTCAGAGACGTCACAAAAAACCGGTCACACCGGTCCGCACCTCAAGAAAACCTCTGGAGGAAGGATGCCAAACTTCAACTTCCAGTCTCGGCTGTCAGACTTCACTCCGTCCTGCTTCTCCCACAGCAGGCTCCGCAGCAAAAGATCCCAACACAAAGCGGCAGCAAGATCAAGAGCGCTGCCATACCAGCACCCGCACCAATCTCAGATCAACCGGCCAAGATCGACATGCAGGGACATCTACTTCGACATGCAAATCCACCAGATTGTACTGGACATAATCTATGTCCAAGAGATCAATGCAACATTGTTGAACTTCCCAACAAATCAAACCCTACAATGTGTTACAAGCTAGTAGACTAAGGCTAAGGCCCAGGAAGAAGCCTGGCTTTGAAGACCACATCTATCATTTATCGGAGCGTCTTTGGAGTGCTGGTGAGCGGCTCCACTTTGACCATATGCTGCCGGTGAAGGACAAGGTCAAGCACGGTCAAAACACAATGAAAAAGCTAGGACTGACTTTTGATGAGCACTGATTACAGTAACTAAGTCAGTAACCATACAAAGGTAGGTTTGGGGTCTCCAAGTCGCCCCACGCCTGGGCGCCAACTTTGTTGACCCAATTGATCATCATGGGTCCTTCATGTCTTGATTTGTTGTGGTTGAACCTTGATTCATCCACCAATGTCAAACCCAAAATTTCGGAATAAATTGAGTAGCCTAGTCGAAAACCAATACACATCGACGTGAAGTGCACACCATCATCATTTCAAATCACATCTGTCCCCCTATGCATCCCACTTCCCCACATCTGTCAATGAACAGTGCTTCAGAATCATCCCATGCAACTCCCCCAGGGTGGCTCAATGTGGTTGCAAAGAACAGGGCCCCCTTATGCCCCCTTGGATCCTTTGGATGGTCCGGGATGGTTCGTGATGCTCCATGGCTGCACCCCCGACCAACCTCCTTCCCACATCGCTGACTGGAGACCAACATCGAACGCGTCTCCAGGCTCGACAGATCCTTGCCCAAGACCTCCGCCGCATCCGCCTCACCACGCACTTCGCGGCGATGTCGCGGTTGCGCGCCTCGCTACGCGCGCTACGCCCGCGGCGACGAATTCTTCAGTGTCGCGGTTTCGCCGCGCCTCGCGCGTGCGAACACCCCGTCGTGTCGCGGTTTCGCGTGGATTTTAGGGGGAAGAGTGACAAGGCTTTTTCGGCACGGCTGGCATGCCAAGCATAGATCTGGCAAGGGTCTGCTCTTGGAGGTCAGGCTGTGGCCACGGTGAAGAACGACAAGTATAAACATACACAATCGTGTTCTTTGACCATTCTTTCGATATTCACACAGACATGCATGCAATGCGTATATCTGTTGATCGATTCTCTTGGCTTTGTGGATCTTGTCCTGGGATCATCTAAGCATATCTAAGCATACCACCCATGTATTCACCCAACAAATTCTATACCTGCGCAGCGCACGTCTTCCTTTCTATACGCCACCGTTTCAGCCACGCTCCGCGCAGCGGCGCGGACGCGTGTGTCTCTCCGGCCAAGCGGCTTCGACGCCTTCAAGCTCGGCCTCCTGAACGCTTTCCACCGCCGAGGCGAAATGCATGGTGGAGCCTTGCACCACGGTGCGCGCCTGGCGGATGTTGGGGAGTGGCGGTCGGGAGCTGGTAGGGCAGTCCTGTTGTGTCATGTGCATGTTTGTGTGGCCAAATCCTTGTGCTTTTGGTTGACCCCAAAGGCTTAAAGGCGATGGTCTTTCGACAAGAAGGGGTGGTTCATGTACCAACCCCTATCACCAATTGAACTTCTTAGTCTCCTGGTATATGTTATACAATACAGTAAGACATGACATGTGAATCAGCCAGCCCCGACTCATTTGACCCCCTTGGCAAGTTTTTGTTTTCCCAGGTTCCCAGGCGAGGTCAATTGAGTCAAACAGGAAGTTCACCAAATGTCACTCAAGCCGCAATACAGTCACTGTATGCATTTGTATGCTTTATTACTTCACATTTCTTCACCAATGCCTCGAGCCAGGATTCCAAACCAGCACCCGCGCCGCCTCCTCGCCGCTGCGCACGCCCGCCAGGCGCCGTGCCAATGCCGACTCCTCGGCCGCCTCGGAGGGCGTCAGCCCCAAGCGCTGCGCCTCCTGGGCAGTCGCTGCCCTTGGAAACGCGATGCATCCGAAGGGAGCGGTGTCCGCCTCGACCGGAACACCGAGAAACTCCGAGGTGCAACAGGTGAGCTAGTAGATGTGGAGTTGAGTAGGTGGTCACTGTGAAGCAAAGGTCTCCTTTGGGGATCTTATAGGTGTCTTAGTCCTTTAGGAACAGAAACCTGTTTGGTGTTGGATATGTTTAGGCGCAAAGTGCCAAATGGTGGGTGGGATGGGGGCTCCACCTCGTCATACTGTAGCAAGAAAAGTGTGAATCATCTTCCAAGGGGTCAGGCGATTCAGGTTTGTGCACTTTGTAGCAGCCACTAATTGCACAAAGCTGCATGCTTTGAGCATATGTGCACGTCTTACATTGTGGGTTGTACATGGTCCGAGTTTCATATGTGCTTCACCTTACGTGGGCCGGCAGCTTTTCCAGAAAAGAGCGGCATCCAAAGAGCTTGCTCCAGGAGTCACAAAGGGGTGTTGTTTAGTCTCTAAGTGAGTGGATAATGGGCACCCCTAACCTCAAGTTCGGCACCCCTTTGTGCATGTTTTCAAACCCTCAACGGCATCGGCCTGGGCTGCGACCGCCGCGCCTGGGCCGCGGCGAAGCCCGCCGCGCTCTGCCGGAGCTCCACGTCGCCGCGCAAGCGCCGCGCCACTTCGCCCACGGCCAGGGTGGCCCTGGGGTGAGCGGTTTCCAGACGGGTCACCGTTGCTGTTCGAGGGTCGGAAGAGAGTGAACGCGGAGAATGCCGGATGAATCTTGGGAGATCTCCAGATGGGACCCGAATGAACTTGGGAACTTGGACCAACTGAGGAACTTGGACCAACTGCTGGATGAAATGAGTCGAACAACGAATCACAACGCTTGGCATGCTGTGTCTTTAGAGGCTCTCTTTTGGCCCAACTCCATGGCTACTTCTTCAGCCCAGTCTTAAGATAGCACATGACAACGACGACTACTACTCCTACTCCTACTCCTACTCCTACTCCTACTCCTATTCCTACTCCTACTGCTACTGCTACTGCTACTGCTACTGCTACTGCTACTACTACTGCTGCTGCTGCTGCTACTGCTGCTGCTGCTACTACTACTACTACTACTACTATACTTCATACTACTTCTGCACCACCGACTCTCAGGGCTCAGGGCCCGGGCATGCGAGCCTGGCGGCGAAAACGGCAGGCAAACCGTGGCGCACCGTGGCCTCCCTGTTATCAAGCGCACCGTAGCACATCCAATAGTCATCCATATACAGTGCCCCTACACACCCGACTCCCAACATCATCCGACTGTACAATCCCCAATGTTGTTGAACAATGTTGAACAAACATCCCTGGCAAACGCAACTAGCACCTCTCTCACGTGGGATTTGAGAGTAATGATTGAGTGTTCGAGTTCAAGCCCAAGCTTCGTTGTTGGTTCTCTTTTCTTCTGGTTGTCGGGCCCGTGATCTGGAAGACACCAACGCTTTCTATATAGACATCTAAAGCTTCCAACAGGCCTTTGTTTGCCTATCTCGGCTCGAAGATGCTCCCAGCATCCAAGCTCACCCCAAACTAATCCAAAAAGGTATCCTCTCAACCTTCTCAACCCATTCTCCTCTTGATTAGCCTTGGTCCTTCAAGTGCTTGTCCTTCCTAATTTCTATTACACCTCCACTCCACCCTGCTCTGTGCCCTCGCCCTGTCCCGCCTGGCCAGCCGCATCGTAGCCATGGTCTTGACAAAAGGCAGCCGCTGACTTCGCCGCCACCGCCAGCTGTTGAGTGAGGCCTCAGTGTGACCAGCATGATGGCGATGGGTGGGGAGTTTATTCCCAAAGGACTCCAGGCAAGCCAGGCAGCCAAAACAAGAACTGAAACTTCAGCATGACCCCAAATTCCGTCCAGCATGCTCCTGTCTCTTTGCTTCTGGACTCCGAACATGACCTCGGAACGCCGAAGAAACCGACCTGAAACGACCTGAAACGAACACCGACCACCTCCTGCTCGCCCTCCGCCTCCGAGCCGTCTCTTTCCGTCGGTTTCGCTCGAGCTCCGGGCCATCGGGTCGCTCCGCATCCTCGGAGGCGAGCGCGGCTTCCATGGCGATCTTCCAAATCTCCTGAGGGGCGGCGATCGGCTTCAACGAAGGCGGCATCGGCTGCCGTGGAGGGAGGCGAAGCAACGAAACCGATCACGAGGTCAGGGAGGCCAATCAGATTTTTGATACATCATCATGCATCTATTTTCTTAACCATTCGTCCGGGAAATTCATGTGAAGAGCTGTCAGGGGAAATGATGGACAAAGATGCTGGTGTCTTGAATGTCTTGGAAGGAAAACTGCCACCATGTTTAGCTTCCTTGGGGAGATCTTATTGTGGGGTCCTTGTTCTTTTTCATATTTATTTTTTCATCAGAAGCTCCCAAATGTGCTTGATACCTTGGACAAATGACAGAAAGCGCCGGAGAAAAATCACAACTACACACCATATTGGATACGTTGGTCCCAAAGCTGTTGAATTCCAAATGTTAACAACTCTGCCTCGGATGGCGTAGGAATTGCCAACGTTTTTGATGGATGTGATGCCAAGCTCAAGTCAAAAAGACCTACCGGACAAAAAACATATTAGTTAAAACAATGAAACAAACAACAGAACCAATAGATAACAATATATAAACAAGTTGCAAAAGCATGCCAAAGTGATGCATTAAGTAAAATTGATTACAAAACACATGTACTTCACTATGTAAGCACGGACCGACCCCCCCAATGGCGCCTCCAAATCCAATGGCGAAAAGTGAGGACCCTGGCTGAACAAAAACATGTCCAAAAACATGGCAGGAGGATGTCGTCCTGAAAAGAAGACACACAGCGGCTTCAGATTCTTTGTTCGAAAGGCCATGTTTTAAAATGATTGCCAAGAAACAGGGTTGCTGAGTCTGGTCTTGGATACGCCATGTATATAACTCTATTGCATTCTCGATCATCATCTACTTGGCAAAGGTTCCCAAATAGCAACTCTCCCTTAGGGACAGTAAATCGCACACTCTCAGCCCAAAAGTCTATAGGAAATGTCAGGAACACTTACAGCACTACCAGTCGCACGTCGGTGTTTCGAACTGCTTATCATAGTAATATCTTAATATCAGGTACACGGGGTGACAAGAACACATTCTTATCGGCTGGCTACTACTGAAGGGAAAGAGCAGCACTTGAGTGGAATGTTGAATCTCTTGCGGCAACAATTCCATGACTGTGATCCTTCGGGAAGGAAGTGGAGACTTTAGTTTAGCAGCTAGGGAGGTTGAACTGTCAGGACTAGAATCCGGAAGCTCCTGACATCTGGACCTCCTTTTGGTTCCAACTGTGCACTGTGGATCTGTGGATCGCAAAAGGAAGCACTCCTTCTTAAACTGCCTGATTGGCAGTAGAAACCTAGTGAGAAACCCACCAGCAACCATTTTGCGTATTTTGCCACTTGCAACAGACAACATCAAACGACCAAGCAGTGCGCTGGCAGATTTCCTCGCCCGAACGCTTCCCCAGATCCGGTCACCTGTCCCGAGATCTGGACGCTCTTCCGGGACCAATGATGAGCCTTGACGCGTGTTTCGTGCCGACGAAGCGTTGGTGGAAAATGACGGTGGCTGGTTGCCACCGGATCTTGGGCAATTCCTCGCGGCATCTCGCTCTTTTTGTTTGCTTAGATCATCTTAGATCCTTACATATCCTCACTCATCTCATCTTACTCCTTGGGATGACCAACAAAGAGAAACAACCTTTTGGTTCCCAATCCAACGGCCCCTCCCCAATCCATCCTCACATCTACCATCATCTACCCACCCAATCCATCCTCACATCGCTTCCCAGCACGACGCGTTACCTGGCGCCTCGGTGGCAGCGTCCACGAGGCGCAGTGCCCGCTGGGCCTCATCGCGCGCGGCGGCCTCGCTGAGGCCCACGTTCCGGGCCTCCTGGCGCTGCTCTGCGGGTGTGCAGGATGTACACCGCGACGGTGGGAATTCTTCTCCGTCATCCGCGACGGTTCGTCGTGGTTTAGCCAGCCCACTCGTTTCCGGCCAAAATCAAATGCGAGGCTCTAGTTCGGAGGCTTTTCATCAGAATCAAGGTCTCTATTATCACCCCAAAACTGGTGGAAACAACACAACGGATATCTAGCAATTATATACCTCCCGCCATGCCATCCTCACCGGGCACCCCAGAACGTGCGAATTGTGTGGCGGACCTAGCCCCTTCCGCGGCCTCCTTCACCACTTCCGCGGCCAGCTGACCCGAGAGCTTCATCCTCCGTGCCGTCTCCGCCGTGGCGATGCTGGACCTGAGGCATCCGCCCGAGGGCGACGGCGGCGGTTGGTGGGCTCGCAGGGGCCTCTGTAGAGCAGCTCCATCGCGAGAGTCTTGGGATGTTTGATACGTTAATGATTTGAAGTCCGACTTGGCCGCGAAGGACTTCATTTTTGCAAAATGGGGTGAGGCCAATGGACCACTCCGCTTCCGTAGCATCAATCATTGACGTTTGCGGATCAATATTTGGTCCCTAGCAGGCTGTTCAAGCTACGCAAAGCAACCTCAAGGTGGCCCTTACCAGGCTACCTTTCGTGACATCTTTCGATGATGTTCACTCGCGAGGCGGTTTTATAGAGGCCACGGTCTGCTTTCCAAAACCTGGGTCTCCACACTGGCGCACCTGCCAAAGCTCAGCTTTTGGATCTTTTGGGAGGCTGTTTGAGGTGGAGAGCTCGTGAGTTCCAACTTTCTAGCCACTGATCTGTGTGGACTGCTTGCATCTGCTTGCACAACTATGCAAAACTGCACTTGGTGACTTGGTGCCAAAAAAGTGAGCCGGGTGCCCCCACCTCCTGATGCCTTTTGACTCCTCTTCGGCTGCACAATGACTGCTACCCCTCGCTTTCACAGTGTTACTTCTCCATCGAACTCCCTCGCCTGTTGTACTGGATCCATACCCTCCATCTCTACCTTGGCACGTGCCGCCTCAGCCGCCGCCAACAAGTTGCTGCGGAGGCCTCAGCTCATAAAGGACGGCCGAGCAGGGGAAGTGTAAGTAGCGGCGTTGGGGCGGGCAGTTTGGTGGGTTCAACATTCCAGTCACTTGAACATCCACCCGCCTGGTTCCAGTGCAAAGCCAGATAATTGAGTGTCTATATAGTCAGTGAGTCTTGAGACGTTTCTGAACTCTTGATCGCCTTGATCGCCTTGATGCCAATAGGCCATCAGCACCCACCAGGTGCTGATGGCATGTTGTGTGCCGAGCAGCTCTCTCCGCCCTGCTGGCTGACCTCCGCAGCATCCCGCGCAGTCGCCCAAACCTCCTGAGGCATCGAACGTCATCACCTGTGTTCTCCCCGAACTCCAAGGTCACTTGACCCCAAAACAACAATCGGACCTGGAACTGCACCATCTCAGGGAGTCCACAGCAAGCCCGTGTCTTGATTTTTTTTGTTCGCACGGAGTTGTGTGCATATTCTCTTCTATTCTCCTCTACTCATGGGATTTGATTCCCTGAACCCCCCAACGTGGCGTGGGTTGGCCCCAGCAAATGCCAGGTTGGCTACATGCCCGAGCTGCTAAAGGAGTAACAGTGTGGATCATGGCAGCCGGGCTAACGTGCTGGGACTGGAAGAAAAGTTGGATAGGAAGGAACAGTGTTGCGCTGTGGCTTGCTCCAGGTCCTTGAGATGATACTCACCTGAGGCGCCTTTCAACTGCACTAGTAACACCCCATGCGTCCCATTTTGGGACTTATACTGCTCATGGGACCTGGTAGCAGCCGCTGCTAGCCCGCACCGTACTTTCGAGCCAAACCCGGAGACTTGAGCCAAACTTGGAGACTTGTGTCTTACCAAACAAGTCCATATATAGGATGCCAACCGTTGCTATCAACTAATCCCAAACACTCCATGGGACTACCAGTCCGGACTGCCGAAAAACGGCCAGGGGTGGTTTTGGGTCTGTCTGGGGCGGTAGTCCGCAGTCGGCAGTCCCAAGTGTTCTCGATTATATATGACCATCACTCCGGCGACCGCGGCGACCGATTTCACTTCCACACCGGCTACCCTGCTGCACATCACCAAGATGCAGCACATCGGCTTTCGCATCGAGGCGGCGCTTCACTCCGAGCTGCTGGCATTGAGATGCTCAGGTCACTCACATCCGTCGTCCAGCTTTCCTCGTACCAATCCAATGCCTCGGTCCGTCGGACGGCGAGTCCGAAACGGAGAGTTGGAGCAAAAAGCATGGAAGACCTGGCATAGACTGCCCCAACACACAAGAGCTTGATGGAGCTTAGATGTTTCCTGCCCCTCGCGGTGGTCGGTGTTCGGGAACACGAAGGAAAATTTATAAAAAGGCATATACATCATACATATCATATATGATCCACAAATAGTCACAAAGAACAACTGTTTGGCCCGTGGATCTCTTTGCATCATGGGCTGCCTTTTGTCCTGGTGGCCAGAGATTTTGCACCGCCTACAGCCGCCTGCACAAATCAACCTGCACGTGTTTTTGGGGTCTCCCTCTGACTCCCTCTCTCTCCCCCTGGTCCCAGAACCAGGATCCAAAACAAGCCTTGTGGGGTCCCTGTTTGGTCTTTCAGGTCCGACTTCGACTGCGCACAAGCCTGGCGTTTTTCCTTCCGCGAGTCCGCTGGACAAGTGCAGTTCAATTCGCTCAGGTTTTGACTGTTCTGAAAACCTCAGCCGCGGCCACGCGCCCTGCATTCACCTGGGGCTCCAAAGCGTAGGTAGGGGTACTAGCCTTACTAGCCAACATGGTAATACATGGTAGGAGTATTTATCGGAGTCGATGCTTTGTCTGCACCCTTTTGCAAGTGCCAATCCTCTTTGCCAGCTGTCATCTTGGATATCTTAGGGGGCTTGGCAAAGGTCTGTGCTGAGTTGGCAAATGGTTCATGGATGGAGCAGAATCGAGCAGGTGTTCGGTTGATGTACCCTGCTGGAGGCAAGGCTGGAGGCAAGGCCTCACTTGTCAATTGTGGTATAAACACCATACACTCCGACTCTAACTGTCTGAAGCGGCAAGGATTGTACCCAACGTTCGAACCGCATTCCTACTGAGGAAAAATGTGCTATAAGTGACAGCATTTGTGTCTACAAGCTCATGTCCTAGTCGCCCCAAATTGCTTCACCAAGCAGCACCGGCACACGGAGGCAATTTCTTCTCCCACGAATTGCCTGGGCAACGGACTTTCATGCATAGAAGCCAGGGAGGGTTCTTTTTTGCTGCAACCGTCATCTGAATGAAAGGGTCTATCGGTCTATCTGCAATTACCTGAACATGATTTCAATACAATCTGACCTGCTTTTGCCACGGACATGGCCCCAGCAGCCTACGAGAGTGACAGCCCATTGATAATCCTGACCTTGGAAACAGCAGCCATCCGCCCCATGGGACAAAGAAACATGGACAACACGGAAGTGGAAGTTGCATCAAGTGCCATCATCCCAAAACATCCTTCCCAACAATTATTTCCCAAGCACGGGAGAGCTCGCAAAGCCTGAAAGAATGGGCTCAAAGCAATGCAACAACTCATGTGTCGCTTGACGAACGTCGGTTCCTTCATGAGTCTTCTCCCTTCGATACCCGTAGCCACTACAGCTTTCTACACAGCTCCTCCAGGACTCCACCATTTCACACTCCAAAGGGCCCAAAGCTCCCCCATTTTGCTCGATGAACCTCTCATTGCAAAGGCTCCTCGCTCGGTGGAGCGGCCGAAATCCGCCAATGACTGGGCAGTCGGACGGTATAGCTGTGGGTATCAAGCCAGGACTATGGTGGGTCAGTATACTACTATGGTGGGTCAGTACTATCCAACCACCCAAATCTTCAGAAATACTTTTAACCTCAAAGTGGTCCAACATGTCGCTATGGACAAGGAACGTCGACGAAATTTGACACACAAACAGGCACAAACAATCTTGAGGCAAAACAGTAGTGATCCCCAACTACTCGATGTCTTGTTCTCCACCTTAACTCCGGGGTGTGTTCTCCAGCACACCAACGGCCTATTCGGAGCCATCATGACCTTCCGGAGGCCTATTCGGAGCCATCTTGCCATTGCTGAAGAATCGAAACGCCAAGAGACACACACACACCGTGACCTCTAGAATCCTCCCTCTCTCTATATATATATAAGTAGCGGTAGCGCGGCCGGTCCCATCACGCTATGTATATAGAGAGGGAGAGGGACTGGCCAGCCAGTCCGGCCTGTCTTTGGCTTTGGAATTCTGCCGCACCCCGCCGCCGCCCGGAAGGCTCTCTCTCCTCCTCTTCATATTGGTACACAGGCCCCATGCCTTGGTCGAAGCCGTGAAGCCAAGGAGGCAAAGGAAAAAGGTATACAGACCCCCAAACAAATAGATCACCACTAACAATGTGGAAAATATTGGATACCAATATCAATAAACTATAGTGAAAAGGAAAAACTATGTTCCCCCATAAACTCACTTGTTCTGAGGATTGACTCGTGGAAGTCTGTTTTAAATCGGTTTTTCTCTACAAATCCAGTGATTTTGGAGGGTTCCAATGTTAATCCGAGGAGGGGTACTTCTTGGATCATTGGTGCGAGACTTCTTGGGTCACACCCTGACCAACCCCAGCCTCTAGAGCTGACATTGCCCGACATACCGCGGACGTACCTGTGGTCACCTCAAGAGTCAGTTCACTCCTTGTGAAATATATTTCCAAGCATAACCAAGCTATCTGACTGGATTTGCCAGAACCACTTGGGACTACGACCATCCTTCTGCATGTGGCATCCAGCCACAAGTCCAGAAAATTTGCGTTACACAACGTGGGATGAACAAATCCAATCATCTTGGGTATGCCTCATGATGATGGTTCATTTGCGTTCATTTGCCAGGGCAAACTCTCTAATATAGTGATGTTCTCGTTTAGAGACTCTCACAGGTAATGGGACACTCGCAACCAACATCGACCCTGAAGCACTCCAGCTCCACTCCACGGCCCCCCTGAAGCACTCCTCGACCGCCGCGACCACATAGACCACATGGGACATGGCACGGCACCGAGTGCTCCATCAAACAGTGCTGGTGAGTGCCCAGCAACTTGGAGAAACAAAAATATGGGGCTGGAGTAAACAGGTGGAGAATAGTCAAAGCTTCCGGCCAGCCCAGCCAGAAAAGAAACAAAAACAACACATTTTGGCCTTTGTGGTCACATGCGGTCGACACCCTGGGGCTCCTGTCCCATCTCCTCAGGTGACCGGTGGTATTCGACCCGCCTGGCACCGGGCCCTCACCCCTGGCCCATCTTCGAAACGAAGGTGGGCCAGGAGCCCTGGGGACATGTCGGTCACCCGGTCGTCGCCCCGGTCGACCGCGCCGGTTGGACCACCCGTCCTCCGCCGTCCCAGGTGCCACCACGACCGCCTTCGCGGCCCATCTGTCCATCGAGTCGAGGCATCTGAGAGTGCGGTGAAGTCACACGTTTTAGGTTATATTAATCAATGAGACATGTGTTTGGTTCAAAGAGTAAACAGGACCTGTTTTTTAAATATATATAGAGCTATATCATTAACTGAGTAACGAGATCACATCTGTCTTTTGCATGTGCTTAGTAAATCAGGACCTATAAATGTGTCGTTTGATCTCTTGGTGGGGGCATGCGGAGAGTGGTAGTAGGCATGCGGCATGCCACTGTGCTGTACGACGGATTCGATGGCCGCCACTCGGAAGCCGATGGGCTGCCGGTCATGTTGTTACCTACGCGTCCACCTTTCAGGATGGGTGATCAAAATGTAATTCATCAGATGTGAGCCTATACTATCCAGCCCAAAAGGAACGCTCCGTCTGCAAACCATCCGAGGGAAGAAGCGAGAAGCGAGAAATATCATATATATATATATACACATCATATAGTAGATCATATTAGGCATATTATATTATCCCGGAGTCATTAAGAGGATCTTCCTGGAGAGTATATTCGTATGCGAGACCAAAACTGCTAGGAATGTCAGTGTGCATACAACCATGAGGAAACAAGTGCAAAGCACTTCGGCCCGGCGTGGCTCTTCTTCTTCTTCTTCTTCGTCTTTTTCTTCTTCTTTCTTGGGCCAAGCATGACAGGAACAACCATCACAAGTAGCATGACCCAACCAGCATGGGATAGCATGAGACATCGTCACACACCTGCGGTGTCGCATCGTGGCACACCCTCACAATATGACCGGGGCATCACTAATCCACGCCTGATCGATCGATACTTAGATTAGACTGGATGACATCACCACTGTACTCACTGTGGTGCTGCCCATCCGTATATATGTTGCTCCACCTCCCCTCAGCTGCTACCTTCCTTCCTTCCTCCCCCGTCGCCCTTCCCCGTCGCCCATCCCGCACGTTGAGGGCGTTCCGGTTCACGAAGTCGGTGACATCGTCCGAGGGCTCACCACGGAGCCTCGGTCCGAGGCCAGCAGCGCCCGTGGGCGGTGCCGACCGGTGGTCTGCTGGTGGACCGGTGGAGGCCCAGTGAAGTCCATTGATCCACCACAATGGAAGTCGATGAGCCTATGAACCTCCATTGATCCACCACAATGGCCCCAGGAAGCACTGACCTTCCGGCAGCCAGCACCTTTTTCCGCTCTGTTCATGCGAGTTCGTACCGCTCCAAGCGCGCGCAGCGCATGGCACGGTGAATTGGGAGGCCTCGGCGTCTGGGGCCTCAGTGCCAAGGTGCTTTGGTGAATTTGTATTCAGGGATGGGTCAGGAAGCTGCCTGCCATCTGCAGGTATCTGCACTGCTGGAAGCTGCTGAATGATTGAGTTGATATATATATATATATATTTATATGTGTGTGATAATACCTGTATGTGTGTGTGGAATATAAAATACATAAAGCTATTTTCACTCGTTTTTTGGCAACACGAGTCATGGTTGGTGACTCAACCATGACGATCCTGGTTCTGCCGGATCAATCACAATCATCTGAAGTTGCAGCCTGAAAGCACAAAGAATACCCAAACACTCCATGTATGCCATATATGCCTACATTGACCCCCCAAACCACCCCAACTGATCGGCATATATGGCAGTCCCATGGAGTGTCTGGGATATATACTTGCAATATACTTGCACTCTTCTCGCTTCATGTGCCGTAATTGCCCCAGTTATCGTTTGGCTCAATCACCAGCCGTTTCCAAGCTGTGAAGAGAATTCTCGACAGTTCCATGTAGACTCTTGATGAATACACCCCCCCGTTTGAATTGAACATCCTCTTCAAAGGGGTGGTTTGTTAATCAAGAGTCTACATTAAATAGTCATTTCTAGTCTCTTAAGTATTCAGTCCAGTCACGGATGTGATGCCCCCGGTGAGCTGGAGCTGCTTTAAACATGGGAAGGGCAGCACCGGACTCCTCTGAAAATGGCACTTCCGTTCTATTCCAACCTCTGAACCGTTTCTTATATATATATATTATATATTACATCATGTGCTTCTCTTAGCATGGAACAAATTCCAACCTCAAAAACCCTCAGATAGCCGACTACCCATTGGATAGAACTCTCCGATCGCCTTCTCCACGGGGCCTTTCATTCAAGATATTGCCGCATATGCCCATAGGCCAACTTGGCTGCCTCGTGCTGCGAACAAAAGGTGCCTGGTGTGAATTAACAGCTGGCTGGTTGGGTTTATGAAGCTGCGAAGATTGGCAGAGTTGGTCCAGCCCCTGGTTTCTTTAAGATACAGTAACATGGACAGTTGACTGATTGTGAACACCACCCATTGACAGGTTCAGCTTGTGATTTCGTCGGGCATTGTATCGCATTGTTTGGCTGCGTGTGTGGGTCAGATACAACATGTGTGTGTGTGTGTGTTCAATCTATTCAGCCCGCCTGTTTTCGGAGCAGGCATGGTCTCCCGTCCGGCCCGCCCGAGTCCTCTTGTTCAGCCTCCCTCTTCGTCCGACAGGGGTGGCTCGTTTGAGTGAAGTCCTTCTCAGCTGAGACGGTGACCTGGAAGGGTTGAGTGGTGCCGCTAGAGATAAAGAAACAGGGTTTCTTACGGGCCTTAAGCGCATCAAGTGCCAAACAAGACAAGATCGCCTACAAAGCAAGATCGCAGCCATCTGGAAAGTCTAAATTGGCTCAGAAGTGATTCTCAAAGAGCTTCCAAGACAGTGGACTCCTATGGTCCTAGGACCACCGCAAAGAACTTAGCTCCTCGCTAGGTCCTGATCCTGACTGTGGAGTCCGGGATTCGACGGATTCGAGGAGTGTTTGGTCACCAGGGCGGGCGGGACCTGACCTGGGCGATCCAACCCCCATTTTCCAGGCAGGCTCTGTACTTCAGCAGCTCATTGAGTGGCGTCTGGAACTTTTGCTGCAAGAGCTCCTGGAGAGCAGTCCTTAGCAAGCTTGTGCACAGGCGGCGGCTAGGGAGTTTGGAACAGTTGAAAGGTTCGGAAAAATATCGAAACATCAAGCCCCACACGTGCATCCACGTTCAACGTCTTTCAGCCCGATTTTGTTCGAGCATCGTTTCTTGCTCGAAATCTGTGGCCTCAAAATACTCGGATTTTCACACGACCACTTCTAAAAGGAAAATAGTTAATCTTCGACCGATTTCAAGAATCCCATGGTTCTTTGAAGATGCAGGAAGTTGAACACGGTAGGTTGGAACATGGTTGAACCCCTACATTCTTGTGATATTTTGGGGTACAGTATATAGCCAGCTTTAAAGCGGAGACGATACAGGTTGGCAGCCCTTATGTTCATTCAGGCGAGGTCATTCATTAACAGCGGCACTTGCAGCACCATCATCGACTCGGATTGCTCGTGTCGGGGCGAGTCACTCAACGAGAGATCGACAGGATGCAGCTCGGATCCACTGTGGCCACTTGAAATCGCTTGAGGAAACACGGGTCGCCATGCACGGCGACCCGTGTTCGGGCAAACCCTATAGAAGACTAGTCGAGCCGGTTTCCCCTATAGGCCCGTTTGCCCCATGTGGCCGGGCGGCCATTCCCCAAACCCCAACGCGCACGCGTTCTTTTTCCACGAGCACGGAGACGGCGCCCGGAATTGGAGCCATCGTTGACGGAGCGAAGTGCACACTTTGCTAAGTCCCGGGTCCATCAGGTCCTGTGTCTTTGACAGACATAGATCAACCCACGTCCTTTAGGGTCAAGGTGCGCAACTTTATGATGTGTGGCTATATGGTTGGAGTTTCGAAATCACTGGAAGTTCGGGAAGTTCACATCACTGGCGCCCACCGGAGGATCTAAAAGTGAAGTTCACGAGTACCTCAACAAAGTCTAACATAGGCCAACTGTGTCAAGTCCTGATGGTCAGGTTTCGCATGGACAGCGGAGTCAGCATTTGGAACAGTACAGTATAGAGGAACACAAGGAAGACCAGGACATACTTGCGGCGTGTCACTCTCCCCAGCGAGGGTTGCTAGACTGTCAAATAGGTCATGAGTTGAAGGGTGAGTCTTATGTTGGTGCGCAAGCCCTCGAGCAGAAAGGCGGAAGGGGCAACCTGCTCCGACCGGTCACGAAAAAGAACTCTGAGCTTTGTCCTGCCGGCGCAGGAACCTGGCGTCAGAACCTTAAACTAAGTCGTGACACAAGCACTCTATGGCGCAAAGCACTCTGTGGCACAATCACTTGCGACAATCCATGATGGGCTCATTGGCAATCTAGTGAGCTTCAAGGGACAAGCAATAACCGATATAAGTGATATAAGCATTGCAGGCTCCCGAGCCATGAGTGAGAACTTCAAGCTCCTGCACCTGCTCAGCATGACTTGCAATCGGTTTTTAGATGACCACACCTTTTTGTTGTTGTTGTTGTCTAGATTCGCCAACACACGTGGCATTGCTCAAGGTCGAAAGGTCCTCACCTAAGCATCGACTCGCATCAATCTCTGTGCGTCAGAAAGGCGGCCAAATGATCTTGCTGCTGCACAAACAGCCTCTATTCTGTGGGCATCAGAGTAGTAGTTGAGTCGAGCTAACAAACACACTTGGCCCCTACACCAACGGCACTCTCTTTACACCTACCACCACACCTTGTGTCGCAGCAAACACCGCAGGTTCACACTGGCAGCAGGCACGGCCTGTGGTCGCAAAACGGCTGGTAAACGACTAGTGTGTGATCCACCGGACTGTCCAACTGACCATTATGGAACAGTCCATTGCCTGACCGTCGTAGCAAGTTGCCAAGCCACCGGTGCGTGAAGTGGTGCGTGTGGTGCGTGTTACTCCACACTCGGTGTCACAGTGGAAAAACGCATTACACTGCCCGCTGCGGTGGTACAGTAGTAGACCCCATAGGCTCGAAAAAAACAAAAGGCAGCGACGATGAACAAGGCAGCTCGTGTTTACCGCTTACCATGTTCGATTTGCCAGACTGCCTGCTGCTCAATCCGGATGGCCTTTGGTCACCTGAATGGGCTGAAGGACATATAAAGCTTGCTTGTTCGGTTGAATCTACAGCGAGGTCCATGCAACCTACGACCCTCACACAAATGAGTGCCACATCTAGCAATTGCATCTCTTTTGAGAGGTGTGCAGTGCTTGTTATCTTACGTTCATTCTGGTCTTTATCATTCCAGTAGGAGACTCTGCCGGCCTATCTTTACTTTTGAGACAAAGAAAGGCATGCTCTATCATGCTCTACATGCAGCATGCTCTGCACCTGAACTGTTTTCTGGCAAACCAAGGAACTGCGCACCTTTTGGAGTTTCGTAGCGTATTTTGATGAAATGAGGAGCACCTTTTAATGCTGTGGATAAAATAAGACCTTTTCTTAAGATGTTGAACACTGAAGTCTTCTTGGGCAACCCGCAAATGCACGTGGCGAACCACCCCAAAATGGGTTGGACATGAGAGGGGTCCATATGACTTTTTTGATCTTTTTTGCGTGTTGGCAGCGCTTTTTGCTTGAATGAGCACTTTTTGACATGAGCGTTTTCTTTTGAAGCTTCAGGAAGCTTCAGGCACTGTTCAGCTGTGGGATCTAGCGATCTAGCTGCTTTCCACCAGCAACGCAGGCGGTGGGTCACGCGTAGCTCGAGCCTCGCACCTCGCACCTCTTCGGCCTCGCTCTCTTCACTTCACTACGGACCGCCCAACGGACGTGGCCCCGGTCGCACCAGTCTCGGCCGCCTCGGCAGGGCGCGCTGTCTCGGCAGCCCATCGCATGAGCGTTTCGAGTGCACTGATCGCTCTGCATCGAGTGCACCGAGTGCAGCGGGCTAAGCCTGAAAACACCTCTCAAAGATCGCAGCTGGCCGTGTTCGTGCTGTCAATGTTCGTGTGTTCAATGCTTCTTGTGTTTGTGCTAAACTTGCCGGGTGTCATGGTGAAATGTGATGAATAGAGTCTTGTGGATGCTGGAGGCTGTGGCCATGTCTACCACTATATCACACGCATCTCTCCCAAACAGGGCAAGGAACAAATTCATAGACTCGTTGAGATTTCAGTGGCAAACGCCTTCATTGTGCACCATATCTGACTGCCACATTAAACGTCATGCTGAAGCAGGAGCCTGACGGACCTTGGAATTGAAAGCTGTTCTTTTCTTATGTTTGACAGGGGCCCTAGACATTGCATTTGCCATGTCAACAATGGAAGTGCAGCATGCCTGGCTAGTTGGCCCCGATGCGGTTTGGAAAGAATAGGGAGTTGCTCGTGTTACGCACGGCTGGTCATAAAGGCAGTCAATAGTGCATGATCTGCCAAAAGAGTTGGCCGCGGTAAACGGAACTTGGCAACGCCAAGTCAAAAATTGAAAAAGAAGCTAGATTGCTTAGGCTTGACTCGCCTTCCTTGCACCAGACTCTCGCCCCAAATAACTTTTACAATTTTCTGCAACAGTCTTCCACTGGAAATCCAAACCTTGCGTTTCTGGAGGATATCTTGTAGCTCTCGGGGAAGAGAAGACATCCAGGGTTCATTCTTTACCAGGGGCCGGTTGAAATCAGCTCCTTGGGAACAAAAGCAGGCGAGGTCATCCAAAACTTGGTCAGAATGATGTTTTGGAACAGGGCCAGCGAAACAGTGGCTGTGACTTTTTGCAATTCTGTGTTTGGATGCATCTGGTCGGATCTTTGTGCGTTGGGCATGTTCCTGAAGCACGGGCCTCCGATTCTCCATATACTCCAAGGCATTGGACAAAGCAAACCAGGGTAAAAAAGGTGTCTCCGGACAGCCTGTTCTTGATATGAACTTCTCATCAACTGTTTTCGGACGAATCGTCAGCACATCCATCGTAGGTGTGCTGTTGGGAGCCTTTGATTAACGGAGGCCGGCTCCCCCATTCTGCAATTGGCCCAGGCGTGATTTCGGCAGTGGCCAGCGGCAGCTGCTGTGAGTGTTATGTTAGCTCTGGAGGCAGCACAACGACATCTACATGAGCAATATCATCACCGATTAAGAGATTGCCATTCATCACAAATCCTTGCCAAAAACACCCCACGCCTTCATCTCCACACCAGGCGAAAAAAGCAGCGTACACGCGCTTGGCGCATAATTCTGCACAACTTCAACTACCCCTGTTTGCATTCCCAGAATGGATGGGCTTCGTTGCAACTGGGCTTCGCTGCCAGGCTGTAGCAAAGAGCCATCTTGCGGGATATAAAAGGAACATGCTGAAAGCAGCAGGAGTCCGCGCATACCCAACAAAACACTTGAAAACTACAGGGTTTGGAAAGAATAGTGCATGGAAGACAGTCAATAGTGCACGATCTGCCAAAAGAATAAGCCGTGGTAAATGGACTTTGGCAACGCCAAGTCAAGCTTTGAAAAAAAAAGCTAGATTGCTTAGGCTTCACTCGCCTTCCTTGCAACTGTCTTCCACTGGAAATCCAAACTTTTAGCTCTCGGGGTAGAGAAAACATCCAGGGCTCATTCTTTGCCAAGGGCCGGTTGAAATCAGCTCCTTGCGCGAGGTCATCCAGCATCAGCGGTGGTGAATTTTACCATATACTTACGAGGTGGCTTCCGCAAGCTTCCACGACTGCAGTTTTGGCTTCAGCGGGCAAGTTGAACTTTACAAGTTTGTTTCAACAGTTCGTGAGAGGTTTTTGACGCTGCTCAGTTGGGACAGTTGCAGACATGCCGGGGAACTTACGCAACATGTTGGGAACATTGCAGGCTGATTGTTCTTGACATCATTTTTGGAACCCAGGCAAAGGGTCTTGCAGCCTTGCAGAAAGCTTCAGCTTGCAAATGAAGCTTGACTGACCTTGGTCATGGAGATTGGCCGCTGGCAAGCTTCAAAAAAAACCATCGGTCGACATCCAATATGCCGGAAGCTGTATCTGTAAAGGGCGGAAAAGGGACAAATCAGGGTGCCATCAAATCTGACCAAAAGCTGCTGGTGATGCAGTGATTACCTGA